TCTGATTTGTATACGAGAGGATGAATAATTTTCTCTTTGATTCGCGTTGGCCTCTTTTCTTTCTTCCATATATACAGGGTGTCTGTCACACTGAAAATATACAAGTAGATCTCGTTATGTGGAGACGATTTTTCTGCAGTAAAAATGTCGAGGGAGGCCATCATTTTTTGCATGTTCCCAATTCTTGCCGTCACGTATCTCTACACCTTAAATTAAAATTTTATTAAAGTATAAACTCTACTTGAAATTAATTGAAGAATATGATTTTGTTAATATTTTATTTCCACAAGGCTTAGTTTGCAAAAAAATATAACTCAAAAATTATGAATGCCTGAATATTTTTGCCGCGGAAAAATCGTCTCCAAATAACGAGATCTAGCTGTAGATTTTCGGTGTGGCACTTTACGTCAGACACTCTGTATGCACTCGCTTCTAACGGAAGACCTCGAGAATGCATGCATGTACATGCGAAATGATGAATATTTGATATCAAAGTGGATGACGCAGCGAGCCTCTAATCTAATTAAGCGACCGCGTAGAACAACGGTATCGCAAATCAGGATCCGCGGCGCGATGACGCGAGATAAATCTAGACCCTCCAGGAAAACTATAGCCGGGTCTCGAGCGGAGTTCACGAGCGAGCAGCGTAAACGACGACCCTTCCATCGGTTCTCGATGGAAAGGCGACTTGTGCCGCGGCGGTCGTGCAACTTTCTCGCCGCCGGAATCGCAAATGCGGAAGAGGTCGGATAGTAGTAAAGTAAGTAAGTACTCGAGCAGAGCTGCTTATGGCCAATTCACCGATCAGTGCCCGCAGGATCGCTGTCCGGTAAGGATCGGAAACGAAAGCGAGAGTGATCCGCAGACGTGAGTTCCTGCGCGCGAGCTTCCTGTTTCCGGTGAGTCGTCCCTCAAATGATTTCCGCGGGTCGAACAGAAAAATGACCTGCGGGCCCTTGATTTGATCAGTGTGAATTGCAATTGCTAATAGGTATCTCTCTCCGCGGAGAGATATTCATTCTCGCTCTTCATTAAGTATTCATTAAAAGCGCGATTTTATTATACTTTGACGAATGATAGAAATTGTCCGGTTTTTTCTTCGAAGAAGTTTTTTTACTTTGCGCGCGCATTTTCTGTTTATAAATAGAAATATTAGCATGAAATTTTATACGAGATATGCGACGCACGAGGTCGCGAAATATCGATGTTTGCAATTGCAAAATGATGAGCTTTTACGATTCGTGTATTGTCAGTTGTATCATAATTGAAAATTAAATATGTACAAAGTTTATAGAATAGTCTAAGCATACATATGTATGTAGTAAATGTTTGTGTATTATTTATCACGTCTTAAATCTTACCTAATTTAATGCGCGTGTGAAGAAAAAATAAAAGAATTTCTTGAATGTCTTGAAGGTCATAATGCGATTGTGCTTTTAAAACTGTTTACAATCTTTTTTTCGTTGTACTTTATCCTTAACGTCATCGCGAGAAGTGATGAAAAGCATCATTGATGAAAGAAAGAATCAGCGTGAATCAGAAATTTATTACCTGCGTAAAAGCATGTTTATAATTGTCAAGGCTGCGCCCACTATTATTTGTCATTCGTTATTAATCAATTAATTATCGGCATATATAAGCGTTCATTAATTAATTAATTAACAAAGCTAGAGTAATTAATTACTTTGTTACTATAGTTCTTGCAAATAAACGCCCATATTTAACAGAAAGGATATACGATAATATTTGTTTGGTACGAATTAAAACTTCGTTATGAATTTCACGATCGACAAGAATTAATAAAAGTTTCACCTCGGAAATAAAGCAGAGAAACAAACAAAGAGATGATTCTACACTGCGTATTTACGCGATTTATGCACATTTTAAGTAACAATTTGCACATATACATAAATCGAATGAAATCAATATTTAATTTACATGAACATAAAATATATTAAACCGATTATGCACATATAGTTAACTCTTAATTTAAAATAAACAGAATAAAATAGAATTTTCCAAGAAGGAAAAAATAAAAGATTTTTAACTGGCGATTAGTCGATTTTATCTAAGCACATACTGGATATATACACACAGAATGTATACTGTTATATTTTTAGGAACCCAACTTTCTAATAATGATTCTCATCTCAGGATGAGGGTTGTTTTATTGTATACGGTGAAAAGACTAGTAGTTTAGTCCGCTAGGCTTTGCAAGGTATGAGCAATGTCAACGTCAGTTATACGATAATTTTAAGATATAATTAGAAAGTTTTGATATACTTTTAATGATAAAAGGATCAGTTGACAAGTAGAAAGTCGGAAATTTGCACTTCGAAGAATAACTTCCGCGGAAGACCCCTTGTAAACTGTGTCATGTAGTCTTCATTACACGAAACTGTATACAGTTGCATATCGACAGGCGTTGTAAATCGACGTAATCTTATACACATACATATACGTATTTTCAAACAAGTTTTCGCGATTAAGACAAAAAAGAAGAACAAATTTTCTATTTTTTTTTTTTTATTATTACCTCACAGAAGATGAAGATTGATGTAAAAGCACTTGTTACGTCACGGATGAGTTAGCGTGATTCGCAAAAAAGAAGAACTCATTCACAAAGCGATTTATCATGCTTTCAAAGACCAACCCTAAGAGACCTCAGTCTTTCCCACAAACGTGAGAACCGATACAGGATAATCCACGAGAAATATTACAAACAATTTTTTTTGTCGAAACCTATTAACAAAATCTTAAAGTTAGCAACAAAATTTTCCCACGATGTTTCATAGTTTATTGTGAATTATTTTATAGAACAAACAAAGTATTCTGTAAATCATATATGGAACACCCTAGAAATTTCTGTTGTATATTTTCTTAGCTACATACAGTTTTATCACGATCGGGTATATCTTTGAAGAAGATCTGGGGAAAAAATGTTCCAAGATACTAATAAAAATTAATTAATGTAATATAATATGTTATAACAACATAGCTAAGTTGCATTTATGTTCTTTTTTATGTATGTTATTCCAAGAACTAATTAAAGAAATTGATGCGCTCGTAAACGAAAGTAATGAAAACAGACTTTCTAGAACACGAAAAGATGATATGTATCCGTTGATGCAATATTTCTCACAATTAGATCATGTTGCAACGTTATTACGGTTTCACTTTTGGACTATTATAATGTGCATCCTGTGACGTTTCGCGTGCGAAGTGTATACAATATAAACGCGACGACAGCGAAATCAAACGATTTCGAAAAATCACGATAAATAGACCTTTCGTATATCTGCAATCTAGATACGAGAGGAAATTATCCTTATTATTATCATTGCGCCGACATACTTATGATGTAATAATCATCAAAAACGACGAGAGAGAAAGCATACTCTAATAACATGTACTTACGATTAGATTACATCACATAGGCATCGTTACATGTCGACGGGCTAGACATGAATTCTCATGCTCCATCACGTATAATGACACACATCTACGTAAATTCGAGAGACGTACGGATATTCGCACTTATAGAGATCCGCGTATGGATTTTCCCTACGATTTAGATAGAGTACCGGGTCACGAATTATCTGCGGATAATATACTTTCAATCACGTGATCGTTCTCGAGGAGACTTCTCGAATTTATATTTATAAATCTGCTCTTTATTTTACGCACTGAATTCTCCTCCGTCGATAATCGCGCGACAGTTGATCTATTGATCCGGAGAATGGGATCTTTGTCCCCGCGTTCTTGAGCAGATGTCAACGACGTGCGTGAGTGAATGCGTGAGTGCGTGAGTGCGCGAGTGCATGTCGGTGTTACCGTACCGTGACACGCAGTCGTTAGTGAAAGCGTCGGACTGTGGATGTGCAACAGGATGACCATGACACATTTCGCAATACTTCGCCTCTATAGTTCCCCAGATGCAATCTATATTTAGGTCAATAATTGCGTCCTTCCTTTTTGTCCGCGGAAAAAAAACGACTTTAACTGCTTCTCATATTTTTTCCTCCTTTTCTCTCTATCTGTATCTCTCTGTTTCGTTATGTTAAACTATAATGATTCACAACACACTTATTATTCTAAACATCATGCTTCGTTATCTTTTTTGCGATAGTGTCTGCTGAATTTTTCCCGTTGATGATTTGTGACTAGCTTCGTTCTATTATTCACTTTAGTATCGTGCACATACATGTATATTATATTTTATTGTGTGTGCCAAGTATGTATAAGTGATAGTATGATGTCATCATGTAAGTAACCATCTACGTCTACGTACATCTCATAAATAATGAGCGCGCTAAAATAACTTCTTAGAAATACCTTAGAAGTTTTCATGCATACACATATATATACGCACACATGCTCGCGAAATATTATATGTTATATACTTTCAATAATCTTGCTTCATAGATTCTAGAAGAGTGACTATGAAAACTCGCGTCGTAGCTTCTGAAGAGCATCGCGTGAGTAGAGAGACCTTGAGAAGAGATTATAGTTTAAATTCAATCCCAATGAACCTCAAGTATCAGCAAATGAAAAACACTGAAACGTCAAACGAAGCTTTCTTCTTCAATTAATGTAAAATAATGTATTTTTACACGTCAATCTATTTTTTTGCATTCTTTGTTCCAATCCTTTTATTCTTTATTAATTTCCATTGAGAGAAGCGCGCACTCGACATTTACAAAAGTATCCAACCATCAGATGAATCACACTCGACTCATCGATTTGTCGAGTGCGACGTAAGAGGTAAATAATGTTTTACATGATTCAACAAAATTCTACTACCCGAGCTGTAACGTGAGAAGAATCGAGCGAAAAAAGAAACGTTGTAATGAAAGCTGGCTTGAAAGAAGGAAAAAAATGTTAGTCAGTTAGAGAAATATTTTTTTCGCTTCTCTTCTCTAATTACTCGCATAATGAAACCATAATCTCACGCCGTAACAATGTAATAAGACGATGTAAGGTGAATGACAACCTACGCTCGGCCTCGCGAACACGCGAGAAGACGCACTAATAACCGTACGGGACGTCCAACTACCTCGCACATTCGCGCAAAGGTTTTCGACGGTGAAGCATAAAGTAAGAGGAGAGAACCAGCCGCGTACCACCTTGGTGAACCGTGCGCCAGTTGCGTCATCGCCGCGAACAGTGTCGTATATACTCGCGGAAAATTGCATCTGCACCCTTCACCACGCACTCTGTGTTTCCTCCGGTTCTCTCTGCGAAGGAAAAGTTAAATCCATAAACGTATCTCTCTCCGAACCGGTCGTTCTCCATTGACATAGATCGCGACAGCCTCCCCGAGAGTGTTTCGATAATATACGTATAGCTCCAATAACGTGCACTTCCGCGCGCAAATTTTTTGAATCTCTTTCTTTTGCGTGTGCATATATGCATGTGATATTTCGTGTGTTTATATGGTAATTATATGTACCGTCCATTCATTCGATTCAGCAGGAAGAGAGATCGGGTCGTCTTTGCTTCATTAAAGCGCGAAGTGCGAAGAAGATATGATCGAATCCTGTGTGTGTGTCGCCGGGCTATATAATCTTACACTTAAAATGTTATATAAATAGCCTGTTGTATTGTGCGTCTCTATGAAAGAGAATCACAGAAGGAATAAAACGTCACGCTGAGATACAGCAAATATCTATTTGCTTGCCTTGGATAGCAAATTAGACTCGTTCGTTGCACAATATATAGGTTCTTTTTTTGTAAACGTGTGCGAGAAATGTAAATTACATCACTTTTCGAAGTAATATATTAGAAAAAAACGCGGCCTGGAAATATAAATTTCGATCGTACGCATAAACGTATTTCACAATCTGGGAAAATTACCGACCGAAATGCAAGTATATATTAGTGCAACAGTACGGCAAATAAACCGGATGTTGGCATTGTAAAAGCTGACGGGGCATAACCGTCGCGCACAATGTAGCGAAACCTTCGTGAAAGAACATATGAGTTATCGTATCGTTTTGCATATGAGTTATCATCTCATATCATATTGTCAATTAAAAGGAGTTCTATCTCATGATATACATTTTGAGATACAAATCTATCGGACAAATATTATTTTAAAGAACGTCTACACGTATATTAATTAAATTTTATTTGGAGTTGATTATAACAGTAATTAATAAACTTGATAAGTAACGTTGCAATAATAAAAATATTTTATCAACGTCACAACATGTAATAATATATTCCAGTGGCATTACGATATCTCAACTTTTATCTGTTTGCTAAAATTAACTAAAACGCGTTCTTCATGCTGCGTGCACAATTCATCGAACGTGTGAATTGTATTTAAAATTCAAAATATTTTCAAACTCACATTTATCAGTCGTATGATACGTGTTAGTAATAAAACTCTCGAGATGTGTTAATTCCTTCTTGTTTACAACAGTTCTCATTGTCAATATTATTGATGAGCTTCATTTTGAACTTTACCTTATTCCTCTCCAGGTCTGAAAGTACGCCTTAGATCACTATATATAAGTTCCTGAAGAATTTGCAGTGTCATTAATTGAATGGTTATACGTAAATAACCATCAAGAACATCAAGGAATTGTTATTCTCGCAGCTGATATATATTGGTTTAAAAAATAAAAATTCTGTTGCAATCGGACAAGCTTTTCGGTTATCATCACGTGTGCCAGTCGCGCGCAAGCAAATACATATCCACATATCACTCGTGTGCATAATTGTGTGTATGAGTATTGAGTAGAAGGAGGTTATCTAGCAAAAGTGGTAGACAAGTCCAGCCGATAGCTGCGTGAGTGGCAGTGTGTTTGAATGCGCGTGTGATTTCGCTCTGAACGCGCTCTGTGTCTCGATCGAGAGACGCGCCGATTCTGTGAAAAAAATCTCGGATGAAATAGACCGAACTGGTCGGTCCGTGTGTTATCATGCCGCAGGACAGCAAAAGGGCCAGCAACGGCGTCGAATCCGAGACGAAGCAACAGGATCAGGACGAGAAGCTCGAAAGAGATTCGAGGGATCAGGAGAGCCTAGGCAAGCAAGAGGCCGATGTCAAGGAGGATCTAGAGTTTCGCGAGGGTGCCGACGAAATGCCGGAACTCAAGGATGATCTGCTGCTACGGGACGACGAGCAGATCAATCTGGATCTGGAATATGTGCCACCGGAAGTCATGGAATATGCTAGAAGAGTGCTCGGGGAGACCGAAGAGGTCAAGTGTCAGACACTGCAGGAATTACGCGACATGATCTACGGTAAGTCAAGTTTCAATATTAATCTGAGATTGTTCAAGAGGAAATATGGTTTTGAATGTGCTGTGTCGAGAGAAGAGAATGTAGAGTCATCTTGATATAAAAGTCATATTTCTGAATGATTAATGTTCTAATGCTTGCCCCAAATTGAAATTATTTTTAACGTTTTCTACACTATTGAATTTCATTTATTTATATTATAATAAAAATGTCTTACATTAACTAGTATTTATGAAATTCTAGCTTGCGCAATGTTACAAATGATGAAAGTATCGAGATTTTCCACACGGCTCTAAATTGCTGCAATTTCCAAAATTTTGATTTGCTAATAAAGACATAAAATTTTTTTAAATATATATTTCACATCTCTCTTTCCTAAATGTAGTTTTATTATTATAATAGAATTTTAGAGAGAATGTTTCTTGAGACATCTCTCAATTAAAATAAATTTCGCTCTCTTGAATTTGGCGGATTTGAAAGATGAACATTTACAGAGTCTTGCAATTATTTAAGATAGAAAAACCCGACAGAATACTTCTATTGTTTCGTGTCCAATTTGTGATGTATACATTCTTTGGCAGAAAGAGGCGAGTGTCTGCCGCATAGGATGGATGACGATTTTCTCATCAGATTTCTCCGTGCCAGGCATTTTAATCTAAAAAGAGCGCACAGACTGGTGAGTTGTATAATGGAGATACTGACAGTGACATTTATAATGAATAGTCAACGAGATGAAGGTCGTGTGATAGAAAAGTGAACGGATAGTTCGGTTAAATCGATCAAAGAGGAAAAGTAGTTCCATTGTCAAATTCATGCTAGCATCGGCACGTTTTTTTGTCATCCCTTATAGAAATTTATCACTAGTAACGCCAATTTATCACTTATTTCGAGTACTTAATCACTCATTTTGAGTACTTAAATTACTCTATATCAGTATTTTAAATACTCAAAATAAGTGATTAATTGGCGATACTAATGATAGATTTCTACAAGGGATGTATAGTAGATGGTGAGATAATACTTCACTATATAACATAAGAATAGAAATATCAAGCAAGTGAAAACATAAAGCTAAACAATTTTTAATAATATTTAAAATTTTTTTATTTAATATTAATTAGCTGACTTATGTTAAATACAGGAAAGATTAAAGAAATTGATTATGCTAATTTAATTAGATGTAATTATGATTAGATTGCATAGAATTATAAAACAGATTATAAAATCTGGAGCCTGATTATGTAATACAAAAGCAACGCTTTGAAAATTGAATTCTATCGTGATGATCAAATATGTACATTACATTATTATAAATTAATATTATTGAACAATTATGTATACAATAACTTTTATAAAAAAGCGAATTAAAAAATAATTTAAAAAACAACTATATTAAATTATAAAATAATACATATAAAATAAAAATAATAATAAAATAATATAATTTTATTTTGCTTAAAATTATATATTAACACGTATGGCTCTTTACGCCTTCCTTATGATTTAGATTTATATTTATATATTAACAATTTATTGGATAATATTTTTAATACGTTTATGATAAGACATAATTTTTCTTGTCTCTTTTATGGAGATATATATTTGCTAGATATTTATGAAGTAATAGGTTACTGGAGAACTGTAACAAATTAATCAGAAATATTGTTTCTTTTTCACTGCAAATCATCAATTGACCTGATAAGGTCAATGTGCTTTACAAATTATCTAATCTGTAAAAACTCGTACGTAGATCAAACTTCAAACTGCGTATAATTTTATCAAATTAAGTCTCATCGGAATAATTTGCGTCGCAAATAAATACTTATTTATCATCTGAACCGTCAAAGGAGCTCAATTTCATAAGCCTTACGCAGCAATAAGCCAATCACAGCAATATATAATTCCTATCTACAAGTTTGTTTACTTCTTAATCTAACTAAGAGTAATTTAATTAAAAATTTTCAAATTTTAGAAAAAATGTATTATGTTTCCTTTTTTTAATTTGTTATTCTTATATTTAATTTAATACTTTATATAACTCGATATTAACAAATTCATTATCGAATGATTTAACATTCTACAATGATAATTTGCTATGATTTTTTATCACTGCTATGTTATTATTCGTTATCATTGTTAGTCAAACTATCGTGTTTATGCAAATTCAAGAAATGTAAATGATTGTAACTACATGACTATTGCTAATTATATAGTGAATATACGAGATAAACTGCCCATTGCCTAATTATGTCAAGGCAAACTGATTTACTAGGTAAGAATCAAACCCGATCATTAGTACAACACTCTATAGCAATTTTATAGAGATTGGGTAATGAAATATCAAAATTTAACCAAGTAATCGAGACATTAATTACCCTTAATTAATCTCGAATATTCTTGAAATAATCACGACTGTCCAGTAAGAATGAGAAACAAAAGTAATAAAGCTAAAATAACATCGCATCACAAAACCTTCTTTAAGATCACTCAATCGCGAATTTTTGCATGAGGAAACAAACGGCTTATTCATTGCTTTTAAATAACGTGAGAGCATCGATCGACGAATAATAGATCAACTATATATAATATATAATTATATATAGTTGATCTATTATTCGTCGATTGCTCTCACGTTATTTAAAAGCAATGAATAAGCCGTTTGTTTCCTCATGCAAAAATTCGCGATTGAGTGATCTTAAAGAAGGTTTTGTGATGCGATGTTATTTTAGCTTTATTACTTTTGTTTCTCATTCTTACTGGACAGTCGTGATTATTTCAAGAATATTCGAGATTAATTAAGGGTAATTAATGTCTCGATTACTTGGTTAAATTTTTTTGATATTTTATTACCCAATCTCTCTATAAAATTCATCGACGCATTATTAACGATCGAGAGTCCATAAGGATACTTATCTCAATACACGATAATAAACGTTATTGCCGTTTTATTCACGCGATTTCACCGAACGAGAATCGATTAAGATGTACTTTTGCGACGTTCGGGAAAAATTGGAGACTGATTTCTCTCAAGAGATCTTTCGATAGATAGTGAATTACTACAACTTCAAAGAAGAACATCCGGAGATTCATCAGCAGCTGGACCCGCGGCAGATGAGGCACATAGGCGACGACGACGTGATCACGGTTCCGCCGTACAGGACCCAATGTGGCAGACGTCTGCTGATCTATCGAATGGGCAATTGGAAGCCGAGCAAATATCCCGTCGAGGAGCTCTTCAAGGCCACGACCAGCGTGCTCGAGCTGGGTATTCTCGAGCCTAGGGCGCAGATTTTAGGCGGTATCGTCATCTTCGACCTCAAGGACATCACTATGGCACACGCGTGGACTGTAACGCCTCAGGTATCTCGTTGTTTTGTTTTTTTTTACTACTTCTTATTTTTATATCATATTCTTGCACCGATCGCGACATTCGCGACAAATGTAATTACAACCGAGCGATGATGTGCAACATGAGATAATTCGTTCTCCAGGTGGCAACTATGATGCTATCTCTGATGGTGACCGCGTTTCCCTTAAATATACACGAGTTACACATTATCCATCAATCGTGGATTTTTGACACGATCTTTGCGGTCTTCAAACCGCTGCTCGACACCAACATGCGAAATAGGATATTCTTCCACGGCGGTGACTACAAGAGTCTTCACAAGCACGTCAAGCCCGAGTATCTACCGAAGATTTACGGCGGTGTGAGAAACGAGCTGCCCTACTACAAATGGATCGAAGCAGTGATCAAGAATCCAAAAATCGTCGAGGAGATGAGCAAGATGGGATACGTCGTGACGAACGAGATTCTCGAGTCCTTCACTCAAAAGTAAACCCAATCCAGAACTCTCTCTGATGATTTTGCAATGAAATTGCATTACTCTCTTGCACATTTTTTCACGCTAGAGCAATCATTGCTAGCACAAGTTTAGTATTTAGCGTTTGCTTCTTTTGCTACTCTATTTTTATCGATTGGGATAATACTTATATACAGCATGTCTCAAAGGTTTCAGTTTTAGTTTATTTTTATTAATTTTAGATTGATTTTAAGCGTAATATAAAACGAACAATTTTTTACTATTATATGTTATTTATATTCGATATTATATATATATATTAGTAACTCTAAGTTTTCTTTTCTCCAGAACAAATATTTCGCTAAAAATCAAATGAACGAGTAATCATCTGTATTAAAGGTTGCACGTTGCTTGAATATATTTTGCTCACGATAATTTTGCAATTCTAATTACCGTGCCTTACCGCGCCTCTAATATAAGCGTATACGCCTAATAGCGAGCTTGCGATAAGAATCGTTGTGTTTCCCGCACGATTCCATCTGATAAGCTCCGATGCTTTTCTGATGCCCCTATATACCGAGTCACTCCACCGATATAGGTTGATCTTCTCTCGTAATTTATCAACCGATCGATTATCGAGAAACGATCTCATCCTGGCATTGTTGCTCGAGTTTAGATTTGATGCACGTTGCGGTGCTTGGTTAATTCAGACCTAAACGTGTTGAATTCGACTCTCTTGCAGCGAAATCGTGACGCGAATAATTAAAAGAGTCACGTCTCTTGATTCGATCGGATTATTGGTAGAAAAAAAGAAAGAAAGGAAATAAAAATGGACGGCAACTATTCAGTGTATCGTGTGCAAACAAATCCAAGAATCATCTAAAGGTGCAAGATTAAGCTAAATTTGAAAAGCGACAATAAAGCGAAAGATAAAGACTTACTTCTAATTGAGAATAAATACTGAACTTGTAGAGCAAACAGTTCGTAATAATCTTCTCTCCCGAGAAATGCATCAATATTTCGAGAATTAATCGCGGAAATAGCTACAATAAATAACTTATTTATATATAGCTGCTCCTACTGAACTTCGCGAGTGGGTCAAGTTTCGATAACATCCGATTATAAACTGAGGAAGCCAGAAATTAACGAGATTATTCTGCCAAACGAATACACAATTGATTTTATCGTCGATGAAAATTGATTTAATATTGTTGGAATAAATCTTTTTAGGAATAAAATTGTTTTATTTAATAAAACCAGAAGAGCTAAACTAGGCATTCCAATAATTAGAACATAATTAAATGTAAATGTAGTGAATTCTACTTAAGATCAAAGTTAATGAATGCTTTGTCTTAACGTATATATAATCAAGAATTATAACACGAAGTTTTATAAAAATGGAGAGCACTAAGATTGTTTATAATCTAAAAACTTTTAATGTGCTTTTGCGATATTTGCGCTTAAAAAAATATGTACGGTTTTTTATACATTCCATATAATAATTAAGAATCAACATTTGGAAACATTTCCGGTTTCTGCTCAATTTTTATATCAATTGCTTTATCGCGTTTCTTTTCAACGCGTAATTGTGCGTAATATTCGTTGATCGTCATAGCCTCTATTATTCATGGCTTGATTGGCCGAGAAATTTCCTTCTCAGCCAAGAGGGTAGCTATATATATATATATATATATATATATATATATATATACACACAGGGTGAGTCATCAAAAATTGCCACTCTTGAATTCTAAGATATCTATCTTATAAAAAAATATTTCAAATAAAATTGGTAATTTTGAGAAAGACATTTTGTAATTAGCATTTTGTATAATAATTAGCTCGATCTTGATTTAGGTAGATACATTTTTAACATTTTAAAATAATCATCTTTTTAAACAAAAACATATGTTTTTTATCTAAATCGATTTTCTTCATCATTCTACATATATAGGTTTTTAAGTAGAACATATAGATTATAAACGGAAATATTAATCTACATTACTTTATTTTGACATTTTGTGACATAAATGTATAATATCTTCTAAAGTATTTATTTTCCACGATCGCTTTTCTTTAACTATTACACAAAGAATAATGAAATACATAGATTATTTGATAGAAAAAATATATAAATAGTTGCACTTAAAATAGAATATGTCACATTTTACAAATATAATGCCGTATTTGTAAAAATAGATTTATCCCACCATCGATTTTATTTATTATTCTGTGGAAAACTTGATAAATATTTTACCGAAAGAGAAATCATTTAGTAAATACAGTTGTTTACTTACACTTTATAAGATATTTATGTTACAATGTGACAAAATAAATTATCTCGCGAAGTATTGATTTTTTTTTATTATTATACTTAATATTTTTATATCTAAAATAATGAGGAAAATCAACTTTCTTAAGAAAAAAGTGTTTCATAAAAAAAAAAAAAAATAAATAAATAAATAAATAAAAAAGAAAACGACCTCGAAATATCGAAAGCAGCTTCCCTAAAGGAAAATGATTTTTGCCGATTACCGATGCCGTCTCTTTGAAACAACTCTGATCTGAAAAATTGGTCTATCGAACCCTTACCTCAGGATCGATCGGAAGCGGCAATTTCCAGCGACTCACCCTGTATATATACATAGACAACGCGCCCGAGGGATTCCCACGAGCCGATTACGTTCGCCTGTCCTAAAATAAAAGCGCGACCCGCTTCGGGATGAAATCCACGGAAGGTGAGTCCGCGCGCGCGGGTTAGGTCCTCGATATATATGTATACGTACGATAGGACCGCGCACGGTAGAAGGAGGCGCACAGGTAGAGCCTGGCGTCAACTGCTGGGGTTTGTGGTGGTTGATATCGACCCGGGTTCGTGTGGCGGCCTCAGGATCGCAGGGCGCACGCCTGGACGTGGAGAAGGAGAGAGCTCGACGGACGCGACAGACGGAGATAAATAGACGAAGGAGAGTGGCGGCGCTAAGGGAGGGTGACGTGGAGTATACCGCCGACGATGTATATACGCGACCGTGGAGGAGGTAGGCCGTGCAGAAGAGGTAGTAGCTGTCCACCGGTAGTAGCAACCCGGCTGGCTGGAGCACCCGACACGCGGGTGCGGGTGCTGCGTCCTGAGAGAAGCTCTCTCGCGCGCGCGCGCGCGTGTGTGCGCGTGTATGTGCGGGTGTGTGAATCCTCCGGGTGTATCGCATCCTCCGGCTAAGGTAGTCTCCGCGAGCTCAAAGATCCTGAACGCGGAATATCCCGCTCAAGGATCTCTGGATATGTGTTCTCCAGGAGAAGACGGTGACATCGTGCCATGATGATCCGGCTCTACCGATCTTCCTTGTAGAGAAGAAAGGGTGCGAAGGTGCGGAGATGCGGTAGAGTGCGGTATAGAGATAGACGACGACCAAGACGACGGCGCCATGTCGCAGCGACAGGAGACGACGACGAACGAGGAATCCTACCTTAACTGCGGCAGACCGTCGAATCTGTTCAAGACGAGCTTCAGCAGCGCCCGACTCGAGAAGCTGTACCGTGCCTCGTCTTTACAACAGCGTCGCGGCGGCCTCACGTGTTTTCTTATGTCAGCGATTCTGTACGGCGTCTACGCGGTCTCGACGCCGGGGATCGAGCTGCTGCCTCGTACCGTCACCGCGGTGTTCCTTAGCTTGAACATCGGCCTGCTGATATGGGCCGAGCGCGGCACCAAGGCGAGGAACTCGCTCTGGTCGGTGGTACCGTGCATAGTCGGCCAGATGTGGATCGTCCACCTGCCCGCACAGCTGTTCCTCAAGTCCACCAAGGTCACGCCGAGGGACGGTCTAGGCTGGATGTTGCTGTTGCTGTACCTGCTGTTCGCCAGTCTGCCGCTCAAGCTGTGCCGTTGCACGTTGCTCGCGATCAGCAGCGTTCTCATTTACTTCTTCGCCGTGATCGGCCTCTCCAGCTCGACGTTGGAGGATCTCAAAACGCAGCCCATCGACGTTTTGGTAGGTAATCGCGCAAACATCTCGTCCCGATCCGTCGATCGGCGGATCATCGAGAGAGGGTTGGAATTGGATCGAGGACCATCCTTCCTTCTCTCTCTCTCTCTCTTTCCTTCTGCTCGAGATGGTGTTCGAGAGAATCGCGCGGCGAGGTCGTCGAGGTTCAAGCACCGTTGACAGAAGCGAGTCTTCTTCTTCTTTTCATTCGCGGACGAAACGCACTCGTCGGTTTTAATCGATGCGAGAGATAATCCTGCGAAAGCTCGCGTAATTCATCACCTGACCTCCTCTTCCATTTATAGCACCCCTCTGTAGAATTATTAAAAATAACTTAAATACTCATATACACCGCGTTCTATATTTAATGAGTCAAGTCCCTTCAATCAGGCCTAAAAACGGCGATAAAGCGGCGTGTTTAGAGCGCAGATACCGTGCCGTATCGATGGCTGTCTCGACAAAAGAGAAAAAAAAGAGAGGAAACGATGATCGAAGGGACAATAAAAAAAATCGAGTACGCACTCTCGCTCTCTTTCGTTCTCCCTTCGCGAGATACGGCTCCAATTTTCGAGTCACAATCGTGGGTGACGAAGTGAAAAATCGAAGCAACGAATAGCCGGCCGTATTAATTGCGATTTCAATAAAACGCGATTCGCAGAGAGGATGCAAACAATGATGTCGCCGACGCCGACATCGACAAACTAATTCACTGCCAACTGTGGACCGACGGCGCGTGCACCAACATCGATCCAAGACTCAACGAGGCGTATCGCCGCTACTTTTACGCGAATACGTGATAATATATGGTTGCGAAAAAAAAAAGAAATAGTACTGGAGACATTTGAGGTCGCGTTTTTTTTCTTTACAAAATTCCTCTTTCGCACAGAAACGAGGCGATAAAATATCGCGATGTAAAACGTCTCACTTCTCCGTTCGCCTGAAATATCTCTTCAAGATCTGCGTAAAATCGATATGTCAAGAAAAAATATTGTGCACAAATGAATGCGTTTGGTTTTGTTAAAAAACGGGAGAGGTCTGTAAAACGAGTAGGCTACGCGACCGACATATTTAGAAGAGACTATTAATTGCAAATTATATACTATTTCTGGTTATAACTCTTGACCTTAGACACTTTGCACGTTGACGGTGACCGCAAACGGCTACGCTACGTTTATCGCGTCAATACATGCATCGCGCTGGAGATCAAGGACGCCGCAAATGAATCTTTCCCCGCGATTTTTCTTGCCATCCAATCATCCAATCATCCGGTAATTCGCGATAATTTAATTGACCTACTTCATCGTTTCTTTTTAAATAAAGATATAATTATTAAGTGTGAAAAGAATTATCGATTTATTTATTCACTTTATATTCTAATCTCGTAACACATCTATTTAAAATATTTATTTTATTATTAATAAAGAATCGATAAAATTCTCTCGCGTTATTGGTATTAATTTATCAGAGATTCATATTAATTTATCCTATATACAATACATGATGTATTTTACCACAAATAAAATTGTGACATTATTGACAACTCGTAAAAATTGATATCTACAACGCGCTATACTCGCCATGTATAAGTTTGTCTTATCGATCCTGGTATGCAAAGTACATCATTTCTGAAACGATAATAGTAACGCAACGTGTATGGCCAGCAAAGTTGCATTCGCATGTCTTTGTTCTGTGAGAACAGATATTACAATACGACAAACTACGGTCGCGCGGAGTTTATTTGCGACTTGAAAGTGCACGTGACGCGGATCTAGCGAAAGAAGACTTCCGTCCGAGAAAACTTAGAAAGACGATCGCTTCATTTTTCACATCTCGCGCTCTTACGAGATATTTTCTCTCGCGCAATTTCCTATTTGATCGCGAAGAGAATAGCACGATTATCGAATTACACGAAGAGAGTTCGTACTCAGAGACTTCAAAATCCGCCGAGATTGTCTTACACGAAATATCGTATTTTCCTCACTTTTTCGTTTATTTATAAAAATTGTCCGATTCTCCAAAGGAAATAAGAATGGTCTTCGATGTATTTCCAACAATACAATATCGAATAAGGATAATCGACTCCTGATTGATTCAGTGTGGTATAGCAAGCAGGAGCATCGACCGAGGCATGCTAAACTTTTGGTAGCGGATATATCGTGTGAAAGCGAAAGCTGGAAGTGGACGTGGCGAGCACGTGGTGCTCTCGTCGTTAGTAACACTCGAGTAGAGTTTGGTCAATGGTAGTTTAAAATAGAGAGTGCGACGAAGATAGAAACGCGATGTAATGAGAGCGAAATGGTGTGAAAGAGAGAAAGAGTAGCAGAGAGAGATGGGCAACGATGCGAGAGCTTGCCTTTCGATATACGCGACGCTCGATGCTTTTTCGCTGAGAATAGCGGACCCACTCGACACTCGGTGGAATGTCATCCGGAAAAGTGACCTTGCGATCGAGATATCGGCTGCTGTTTGCTATTGATGGAAAAAAACCTCGAGCGCAAAGCTCTACTATTCTCATCCTCTTAGATAGATGATGCCTCTCGTATTCCCATTCTATTTTTTTACTTTCTTTGAACAAATATTGAGAAATATTACAAAAGATCCCGATATAGATAAAAAATGCTCCGAAAATATTTAACATTTAATGAAAAAAAAAAAAAGAATTGTTTTACCTTAATAAACTCGCCGCCGATTCTCCCTCGCCTTCGCACTAATCGGACACGCTCGTAAATCAGCATCCGTAAAAACGTCCTGTAGATCCTGACGGTGACACTCTTTGCCGGCGCCGCTATTTTGGGTGCTTGCAGCTACTGCCTAGCCGAGTTCCAGCAACGCCGGGCGTTCCTGGAGACCAGGCAGAGCCTGGAGGTCCAGCTTATGATCGAGGAACAGAGCGCGGAGCAGGAGCGGCTGCTACTGAGCGTTTTGCCGGAACACGTCGCGGTCAAGATGCGGCAGGACCTCGGCGCGTCCCTCGACACGCAATTCAAGAAGATCTACATGTCCAGGCACGAGAACGTGTCGATACTTTACGCCGACATAGTCGGCTTCACCGCGATCTCGTCGACCTACAGCGCCAGCGAGCTCGTCAAGATACTCAACGAGCTGTTCGCGCGGTTCGATCAGCTGAGCGAACGGTATCTATTTTTTTTTTTCAATTATTATTCATATTAAATTTATTAATAAGAGATTGACCAACTAGACGAGCAAAATATTTTTGGATGTTAAGTAATTTTTATTTTATTATATAATAATTGGAAGATAGACTCAGAGTCTTCTTCAGTTTGCAAAATTAAAAATAAAAAGGAAACATGTATGTAACATTGAGTAATTGGATGTAAGATTTAATCTGAGAGATATGGAACGTAAATTACATGAATATCATAAATTTAAAGGAATATTAAATATTAAATTTAACAATTACGGCTCACTTTTATTACATTCTTGCGTCTCTCGCTTGAGCGTTTATCGATTTTACGAGAAAAGTACATCACACACACACACAAGTTGAGGAACGCTGTTCTCAACGTAGGTGGTAGATCTCTATCGGAAAACCATACGTCTCCATTCCTAGTAATTAATCTTTAAATTATTCAAGGAAAAAATTGAATTATAGACTCATTAGTGAAATTAAAGTAGGCGTAAATATTAAAAAAAAAGGGAGAAAATACGTCGATATCTACGATGCCGCGCGCAGGAAAATTATTTATGATTCCATTACTCAATGTATACACGTATTAAGCGGGGCTTCGCGTGCCATCAAATGCTAATCGTAAAATGAGTCAGTGAAATTGATAGAATTCCGTAACTCTCGCGTTCTATTTCCGCCCGGGGATGACGAAAATTGCATGCGATCGGCGCGACGGCGATTGATTCCATTCCGAGCAAATTCCCTGCTGATTCTCTCTTCGACCAAGTAAATCCTGTCGCAGGGGGAGGTCCTTGGAGGACACCGGCAATCGATATCCCCGGGGACGTTTTCCGTCGCTGTCTGCGAATGCACTTTGCAGCTTACGTTATTGTCCATCGTCGCGTTTTTTTTTTTTCGTATCGAACAAATTTTCTTAGCTGAAAATACCTTTTTTTCCCTAGGAATGTTCTCGCGACATGTATGAAATTTTCTAGATACGAGCAAATGCGTATCAAGATCCTGGGGGATTGTTACTACTGCATAAGTGGTGCACCCGTGGAAAGGCCAGACCACGCGGTCCTTTGCGTGTACATGGGTCTATCCATGGTGGAGGCAATCAAGTACGTTCAACAGACGACAAACAGCCCTGTCGACATGAGGGTGGGCATTCATACGGGGGCGGTGCTCGCCGGGGTCCTTGGCCAGAGGCAGTGGCAGTTTGACGTTTACAGCAAGGACGTCGAGCTGGCGAATAAGATGGAGAGCAGCGGAAGAGCTGGGTAAGAAGCACTTTTTCTGAATGTTCTCATTCCTCCGAGTTAACGTTCAATGCGTTTTTCACTTCAACGAAAGATCGCAATTTAACGAGAGAAATGTTATACGTTAGCTTCTATTTTTTTTGATCGAGGTCGCGCTTATATCAAAAGCGTAAATAAATAAATACTTGAAGGAGGGTACACATCTCGAACTCGACGTTGAGTTTCCTGAATGGAGAATTCGAGGTCGAGCCGGCGCACGGGGAGGACCGGGAGGAGGCACTCCAAAAGGCCGGCCTTGTCACTTACTTTATAGTGAGGGCCTTGAAGCCGTTTAAGCCGGCGGTGACGAAGAGCCTCGCGTCGCTGGCCGACGCGGAGAACTCGCAGCGGATGATGGAGAACGCGCAAGACAGAGCCGACTATAGCAAAGAGGACTCGGAGGAATTTCAACAACGACTGAGAAAAAAGCTCGACAGTAGAGGTACGAATTAGTACGAATTAACCCCGATACTGACTTTCCGTCAGAGTCGCGCGCGACGCGATTAAGTGGCCCAAATTCGGCCAAATTAACTTGCAAGGGATTAAATCCCTAAACCCGTCCGTTGTTTCTCGTTCGAGTCTCTCGATAAGCGGCTTAAAAATTTGCGCATGCGTTCGCCTACTCTCATCGGATGTTACAATTATCGATACGGACGGCGAAAAAATCTAGATGCATTAAAAAATAATTTTATTAAAAAAAAAAAAGAATTTTTTTAAATTCGTGGAAATGAGATTTTTCGTAAAAGTCGAAACGAGAATTCATCTCGACGAGCGGGGGATCGATCGGGTGATAAAGCACGGGGGTTAATCGCCGGACATCCGGCCGTCCCATTAACGACCGAGCTTTAAATGTGACGTCAGCGCATGGTCGCTCGTAGGTGGTGCTACCGACCTGAAAGGTCACGTCTCCTGGTTGACCCTACGGTTCAAGGATCCGGGAGTGGAGACGGCGTTCCACGAAGCGTTGGAGGCCTTCTCGCCGCTGTCGCTCCTCGGCGGCCCTTTGGTGACGATGTGCGCGGCCCCGGCCTGGAGGCTGCTGCCCTGGGGACCGTTCACGTGGGGCGGTGCCGGCGTGGTCGCCCTTTTCGGCATCGTGCTGGCCGGGGCCACCTGTCTGGCCAGCGCCGTCAGAGCGACGTGGCTCAGAAGCACTCTCGCGCTTCTAATGACCTTCTCCCTTATCATTTTTCTGCTATTGGACATGGTAAGAACTCGGACAGCTGGTCTCGCGATCGATACTTGTTGCACGACACAGTATTCATCAGCAGAAATTTTATTTTACATGTGGTCGTTTGCAGAGGTCATAATATTCCGCATTATATTCTATTTTAAATACTATATATGAAATATTTATTTTAATATCTCTATAAAGATTTAAGAATTAAAATTAATATCAATACATTTTTATATATAACATAATTATAATCTATTTTTAACATCTTTAAACAAAGGCCTTAATTTCTAATTCGAGTGTTGCGAATTGTACATTAATCCTGCCAACTTTGTAGACCAACTGTGCGATCATCGACGACATCGACCCACCAAGAAATACCTCGCTAAGCTGGTCTCCGCGATGTCCGTATCCTTCGTATTACTCGTACATCGGCGTCCTCGCGTTGATCGCCATCTCGATGCCGACGTACCTCTGTTACCTGACCAAGGCGTGCCTGATGTACTTCCTTGCCGGCGCGCAATCCTCCATCAACGTTCTGTTTCTTGCCTCGAGCCTCGACAGGGAGGACGTGGCATCGTCTGGACGACCGGTACCCTTCCCCTGAAATATTCGTTGGCAGCCACCCTCTTCATCGTCGCGACCGCCCTAATCATCGTAGCGAGATACGTAAGTGCAAAGTATTTTTTTTTTTCTAAAAAGACTTTGGATATTTTTCGTAGATTTTTTAAAATATTTTTTCGGAAATTTTTTCATAGATTTCTTCTTGGAAAGTCTTTTTCATTCTTTCTATATTAATTATAAAATGAAATAAAATTATGTCCGCCCTAATCATCATAGCGAGATACGTAAGTGCGAAGCATTTTTTTCTAGAAAAACTTTGGATATTTTGTTGTAGATTTTTTTAAATATTTTTTTTGGAAATTTTTTTTAAATTTCTTTTCATAGATTTTTTTCTTGGAAATTCTTTTTCACCTTTTCTATATTAATTGTGAAATAAAATGAAATTATGCCGGCATAATGGATTAATATATCGAATATGCGGTTTCGAATGGCGACGTAAATTCCGACGTGATTGAAAAAAATCTGACACGACTGTTGTCGATCGCTGTAAGCTTTAATAGAGTAGATACGTTCTACGGTCGCTTTACATTCGCGTAAATCGACTTGTCGCGCGTTGTAGTTACGCTGGAATATAACGGCTCGCGAAAACGATCCCTTCCTTCGAGGACATCGACAGGCATGTCGATAAAAGAACAATCAATTTTCCCAGGGTTTATAAAATCGTGTCGACGATTCAATTCGCGAGAGAGTCAAGCGTCGCGTTGAAAAATCAGGTATGAAAAGAGCTGGATCGAATGTCTTGAAATATTTATTGTTTGCATAAATTAGCATTGCTTCATCTTTAATGATCATATATATATGTATATATACAATTCTATTATTTTTGATATCCCCAGGCAAAATTATTCGTATACTTCTCGTATTACTGCGATCGCGCTTTATTTCGCACGCTGGAAAAATGAGATAAATCACTGCGATATTGATTTTCCGAAATAACTCGGCAATCGAGGTATATCGAGTATATATGGAATAGAAATATAATCCGTTTGCGGACAGCGGCGACAACGGCCGGGCTCAATCGAGAAATTGGACCTCGAGTAATTTGCGATTTTCAAGTGGGCTTTTCACGGTACACGTTGAATGACACTTTACCCACCCAGCGTGATCTTTCTACCTCCCGATCGTTGAAAGCGTCGAGAGAGGCGAAAGCAATTTCACGTTCGAATTTTCATTCCAACGAGACATTTCCTCTCCGTCACGGAAATATAAGTCCCTGAGCTCCACGAAACGAGGAAAATGTAGGACAATTCGGAAGAGATGCTTTTATATCATTATATTATTAATATCAGTTGTTTTGTAATATTTCACTTAAGCGTCAGTTTTAATTCGCCAAAATTTTATTTAATCGCGTGAAAAATTTCAAACGACAGCAAAATTTTAAACAAATTTGTCACGTGCGCAGGCTGAAAAGGCGCGAAGAATGCTATATCTGCGGGGACGAGAAGTAATGGCGCAGAGAGAACGGGCGACGGACATGAAAAGGAGAAACGGCGCGCTGATATACAACATTCTGCCGCCCCATGTGGCCACCTACTTCCTGTCGGACGCAAGACACCACGACGATCTCTACAGCCAGAGCTACGCCGAGGTGGGAGTGCTGTTCGCCAGCATGCCGAATTTCGCGGACTTCTACAGCGAGGAGAGCATCAACAATCAAGGCCTCGAGTGTCTCAGGTTCCTGAACGAGGTCATCTCCGACTTCGACGCTGTAAGTTTCATCCCCATTTAGCAAGCAAGGCTACGCGATGCTCTGAAAAAAGAAGCGGCTTTAAATATTTTCATATAAAATATTTAATGTAAAAATAAGTAAAGTATATTATCAATTTTTTATTTTATTTTATAAGGAAATGTACGTGTAACCATGTTTACGGATTGCTTTGATTTCAATAAATATTTAATTTTTAAAATAAGTTTTTAATACATTTTTAAAATAAGTTTTTAATACATTTTTAAAATAAATTTTTAATAAGCTTTTAATAAATATTTTCTCTTACTCTCGTTAGATACTCGATCAGAAGAAATTTAAGAATATCATCAAGATTAAGACGATAGGGTCGACCTACATGGCCGCCTCGGGAATAACCGAGTCGACGCAATCGGAGAACGGTCCTCGATGGGATCATCTCGTCACCCTTGTAGAGTTCGCTCTGGAACTTAAAAAGGCTCTGTCGAGCATCAACGAGCAGAGCTTCAATCATTTCGTTTTGAAAATGGGCATCAATCATGGCCCGGTAACCGCCGGGGTCATCGGAGCGCGGAAACCCCATTATGACATTTGGGGCAACACCGTCAATGTCGCGTCGAGGATGGAGAGCACAGGGAAGGTCGGCTGCATCCAGGTACTGTGGAAATATAATAATTTTTTTGTCTCTTATCAAAATTAATCTGTGAATGATTTGATGGAAGGGAATCTAAAAATAAAAAAACTGCAGGTTACTGACGAAACGCGAAGGATATTGGAACCGTTCGGTTTCGGATTCGAGCAGCGGGGTCTCGTGTTCGTCAAGGGCAAGGGACAGCTCTTGACACATTACCTAGTCTCCAAAGACGGCGTCTTTCTGGATCTGGACAGTGATCTGCCCGTGGAACCCACTCATCCGATAATTTATCAATAATATAATGAAGGCTCTAACTCAAACGAGGGATCGTTGCAAACCTCTATGGGAGGTATCACGTTGAACGATTGGAAAAACGTCCCATTACAGTTTTCCTCGAGATGTATCAGAGATTGGATGCTTGGAAGAAAGGTCTGGTGTTCAATCTGAATGATTCATTCGCGTGGACAACGAACGGAGAAGAGAGACGAGTTGTAACTTAGACGACATCTCTATACGCCGAACGAAATTTTCTTCAAGGACGTTCGGCGAGCTAAATGTATTGTCGTAGAGAACTCTCTAAATGTTAGCGTTTTCTCGTGTCTCTCAGAGGCAGGATATTGTACGCGGAAGGAAGGACCTGATCTGGCAGGATCGATGATTAGATCATTTACAGTTGTCCTCAAGTGTCACCGTACGTCGCCATATCATTCATCGATTAATGTCAAGGGAGAGAATACACATACACAAATATACACACACACATATATATACATACACGCACAGTCACGTTGATTACTCGTTATATCATAACGTTCGCACGCACACGTACAAACAAGGATCACATGTACGTGCGTACGTTTAGTGAGGGTGTGTCGAACTCGCGTACAGGGTATATTTGAAAAAAAAAGAAACCAAAGAATAATAGGTTTTAGTAGAGACATACTACAGGCCGAATATGAAACGATATTTTGATGTCGCCGTGTAAATAGCAACAGATCCATAGGTAAGGAAACAAAGATGTAATATTGTTAACAGATGTAATATAATAGCAGATGGATGTGTCTGTCGGATGGAGCATCGAGAATCAGGATAACGTAGAAAAGTAATTCCTTTGTGTGCGATGAATCTCGCAGACCTAACTTCTTTCTCCAAATTACACTAACGCAAGAGAAAAGAACTACTTGCCCGATTCTGTCACAATATCAGGATTAATCTTGGATCTTTATTAGTACAGGTAATCATTTAAACAAAAAGGAACTCTCATCTGTACCTCGAAAATAGCTCTTCGCCGAGTTCCGTGGCCGATTCACAACTCGTATTCGCCTCGATTGTGCTTTCAAGAGTGACAATCGATGGTGAACGACATGAGAGAACCGTACGACGGAACAAAGTATCGAACGGAAGTGAATTTGACTCGTGATAACTTTGTCGCTGCCGGAAAAGAGAGAAAGAGAGAGAGAGAGAGAGAACCTTGGGGAAAAGATGAAGATAGCAAAACAGGCACAAGGTTGCTCGTTCACCTCTTTTGGTTATCGGCGATCTTCGTACACGGCATAATTTTATCGTTTATCCGATGACCCGAAATCAGAGTGTGTCAGCGAAATTTCTTGTCTGACAGTTTAGCAAGAATTATTCACGTTCACCTTCCGGATACACGTCATCTGTAGAGCGCACAGTTGAGAGATATATCAGAGAAAGAGAGAGAGAGAGAGAGAGAGAGAGAGAGAGACAGTAAATATAATTTAATAAAAATAAACATCCGAGGAACTATAAACGTTTGCCGTATAAAAGAAACAATAGAGAGAAGGAGAAACAAGCGGACAAAATAAAAGGAAACACAAAATCGCCGATACGGTAATAATTTATTTTTCTACAGTCGCCGAGAGAGTTTATTACCAGACCAAGAACACTCGGGTACGTGCAACGTACACGAGGAAGCTTAAGGAAATTTTCTACTAATTCTTTCGTTATGTACGACGGCACAGATCCCGATATAAACACGAAGGTCTCTCCCTGCGCGTGTTCAGAAGGTATTTTATACAACCTTGCTCTTGATATCAGATTCTTGTGTGACAATTCGAATAAACTGCAACGTGCTTGTTGCAATTAGCGGCCATGCCGGATGTAGCGAGAGGGTTGCGCGAGAAAAAGAGAGATGAGTGAGAGAGAGGGAGAGAACGAGACGAGAGACTGAATGAAAAAATAAAGACAAAAAATAAGTAGGTATCGGCCTAAGCGCAAGAGAAGCTAAGCAAAAGTCAAAACTAAATCTCTTTGTTCAATGAAAGATAGAGAGAGAGAGAGAAAGAGAGGTTGAAAGAGAAGCGATTTACTTCCAAATCTCTTCAGAAATTGCGTACTTCCATTTCCAGCCGATTTCTCGCCCTTATATTATCACGCGTACACGAACACAAGAAACATGCACACGCATCGATTGACAGACACACTGTGTCGTATGTAGATCAGAGAGTATCTCTTGTAAGATAGCAATAAATGGACTCTCTCTTTCGCGTATACACATATGTACAATTGCATATACTAAGTTTTCGAAGGATCGATCGGTAGAGAAGTCGGAAAACATACGATCGATATGTGTGACTTTTAAAAAGTCATAGTAAATCAAGAGAAATTGATAGAAACTCATTTTCAATATTTAATTCTCGAGATTAGAGATTATATTTGAGAAGAATTTTTATTTTTCTACATTTAATCAAGGAGTACACAGAGATGTTATTGCATTGTATATAGAAAGAGAGAAGAAGATACCTAAATTATTCAATTATTTTGTTCAATTAAATTTCATCTTGCGGATTGAAATTTCTATTAATTTCTCATGATTCGTTTGCCTTTTGCGAAAACGTCAAACGAGCGGATAGTAACACGTAAAATGTGAGATGCGCAAAAACGATTCGCATATAATCGTGTATAGTCGTGTAAGGAGAATATATCACTGTTGACATGTTAGCACACTTTAAATGTGATGAGCGAAAAAATTGGAGGGAAACAAAAACACCTGCCGTAAAAGACTTTTAACTTTCTAGAGCGACAGACAGGTGGTATGTAAAATTGCGCGAGAAACTCACCACTCTTGCGTCGACGAGATAATAAATGGCATCTATGAGAACATTGTATTTTTTTCCAAAGAAACGCTCGCACTTTCAAAATTTGTTCACAGATGATCCAAAGGATCATTATTACACTTGTCCTTTTGCATTCTGCGAATTATATTTGTGTGCGGGACATTCAAGGCGAGCTCCCGATTGTTACCGTTTGAGATGAGATGATTAGGCTTGAAGAAGATTCGACCTAATTCATCTTATTGTTAGAACTTAAAACGTTCAACAAGATCTCATGATGGTTCATTTTACGAAAATAATATAGAAAAATAAGCATCAAAGGCTTGGCCTAATAAGCGCTGGTTTTGGAAGTCGCAAATATAATTTAGCACGAACTCGAGAAATGAAATAACAATCAAGAAAATATAAATAATCTTCCCGCGAACTCGAAACGTTTTCTGGCTATGAATAAAAAAACCTGAGAATTTTCTATCAGCGTTTTGGAGCAGGACTTTGTCAACTTTCAAATAACACATTCAGCTGTTTCGCGACAGAGATTCAAGTCCATCTCTTAAGCGCATTTAGGATTATACCAATCAAAGAGAGGAGTAGCGGGGTGTTAGTGTTAAATGATATTAAATATCTTTGTAAATAATTTTCGAATTAGAATTCTGTGAATTTTGTGAAAGTAAAATGAGATTGATGGAAGAAGAAGGTCTGGTTGACTACCTGCGGTTACGACGCCTAAATCGAACCCCCCTTTGTAATTTTCAAATTGTTTATAACTACAATGTTACCACCGATACACCATGCGCCATTAAGATTAAATTCCAAGAACAAAGAGGTAAGATTAAATTACGAGTAAGATTAAGAAGATATTATAGTCAACTAGTAATTTTCCAGTCCTTTTATTGTTTCTTCTTTTGCGTTTTATTGGGAAGGAGGGAAAGTAATTTTATTCCGCAAAATGGGACGATCGAGTGATGGTAGTTACAACGTTTACAAGCATTATATTTAGCGTAGACGAGGGAGGGCAGGGAATTACAGAGAAAATCGGAGAAACGTATCTGATACGTATCACGGATTCGTATATTGGCACGACTAATAAATTCAACGCGCAACAATTTTACGTCGCATCGACCCATTTTCCACGGTGCACCAGCTGATGCTCTCGACAGGATATTCTGAAAGGATACTTCTGAACAGAATACTGTAAGTACCATAATTAAAAAATGTATACCGCCGCAAAATTCGCGAATTCTACGCGTAGTGTAAGCAATTTAATTTACACATTTTGCACGTCTGTTAAATATTTTTTTTTTTTCTTACGTATATTTAAATTTAAACGACTAATATTTTTTTTTTACTACTGCAGTCTTTATTTAAATAGAGAAAGAGAAAGAAAATAAGCTCTAAGAAACATAAGAAATTCCATTTTTATTTCCATTTAATTTTATTATCGTCCCGATGGTGGGCGACGTGCTCACAATGGAGACTGCAGAGAGTAATTTAGGTCAGGTCTTTTCAACTGCCCTTTTCACATCTTCGTTTAGCCTCCTTTTCTATTCACTCTCGAAAAGTTCTACATTTGTTTCGAGTTAGCGCTAAACGTATAAAAAACTGCACATGAAAGAAACAGGTCTATTAATCTTTCTCTTTCAGTAGTATTTGAGAAATTATTTCATGATTTTCTTTTGGCCAAATTATCTTTTTCCGCGTCATTCAAAGTCTTTGAGACCGCGGATTAAAACTGCGGAAAATGAAAATTAAATTATGTAAATTCTGTATGGTGGGAGAGAAACGATCGCAAAATTTGCGGCAGTATACATTTTGTACAATTATTTTATTAAATATAAAGTTGGAGATCCATTTTAACTTTGTATCGCGAAAATATATCGATATTATGAGATTCGTTTTAAATTTGTAATTTGCGCATAAGGAGATAAAGAAAGAGATAGTTTTTTTTTCCTTATGCGTCATAGTGCAACAACGTTAGTGTCACATATATATGTATACATTGTACAGTACGATAGTTAAAAAAAGATAGAACGCGGCACTTTTGTTATGCCGTGACGCGTCTTGAATTATTTTTAGAAATTTCGTTGCTTTTTCATACAGAGCACAACATCGAAATAACAAAGAGAACGTAACGATTATAAATATGTACAATATATATATATGTATAGTTGTGTATGTATACTTAATACTTTATTATATAAAACGAATGACACTATAGGCTGTACGAAACAAGTTCAAAGATGCCTTTCTTCTGAGCGATTTTCGAGTAATAAAACGCAGGCTTGAAGGGAAATCGAAATCTATCTAGCAAAAATAAAAATCGTACCCTTTGGAAAATTCTTTAATGAAGAAACGGTATATAACAAGCAAGTCGAGTTTATTTTTAATTTACTGACGTAACGATCGATATGAGATTTTATAAAAATACGCGATAACGTTGATAAACAGCTTGCTGGGAAAATTGTTCAATGTCGAAGGCGCGATTTTAGATTTCGATTTAATCTCAAGTCGCGCGAGACGTGTTTTAGACAAAGCATAGATGATAAGCGCCGCAACTTTCGCAGATTTAATCTCTCTCAGTCGAAAGCTGCTCAATTCGTTTCCGATCGACGGTCTCGAGTCTTGCACTTATTGTTAACATTATAATTTAATTGCGTCGGGAAGGGGGTGCTTCCCGGCCGATTGTCACGAAGAGAAGTTATGTAAAGCACTTGGACAGTCAACAAAGTTCGCGAAGAAGTCACGAGATCATGCGGCGTTCATTTCTGTTGAGATGGCGACTCTGCGCGCGTAAAAGGCACTGCAAAGTAACGTAATTATGTACATTGCTCGGGGAAAGTCTAACGTTAAGTTAATTTTAAATTAAACTACTAAAGACACGTTAAGTTAATTTTAAATTAAACTACTAAAAGATATAATAGAATATAATGTAGAAAAGTCGTCAAGACACGGCATGATGGCTAAAAAGATTTTCCTCATATTGAACAGATCACTTTTGTTCTATATAGTATATATTATATTTTTAAAAAATTTTTTAATTTAAAAAAAAATAGATTTTTTATTGGAAAAACCTTAAAAGAAGACAGATTAATTTTTATTCATCAAAATTTAATAGAAAGATTTTATCGTTTTAGTAGAAATTCTCATCAAAATTTAAAATTATATTCTACTAATTTTGAAAATACTGCAATTGTTTAATAGCGTTTAATTTTGCGCAAAAATCTGAAGCGTTCGCCAGATTTGCATAAAGCGCACTCCTCGAATCTTGCCGCGCAGAACAATTCGACGAATAATTGAATCATTTTCACTCAATTTTTTTTATAATGAACAAATCACGCTTGTTTTATATAGTATATATTATATTTTAAAAAAATTTTTTAATTAAAAAAAATATATTTTTTATTGAGCAAAAAAGGAGATTAATTTTTATCCATCAAAATTTAATGGAAAATATTTTATCGTTTGTAGTAGAAATTCTCATTAAAATTTAAAATTATATTCTAGTAATTTCAAAAATACTACGATTGTTCAATTTGAAGCGTTCGCCAGATTTGCTGACAGTTCGACGAATGATTCGATCGTCGTCCTCACAATCGTCGCAGAGCCGCGATCCGGGATTTATTGATCGAGACCCAGCCCCAGTTATCAATACGATGCAGCAAAACTCGTTGAAGGATATTGACACGACTCGTTGAATGATACTTTAACGAGTTACCGTAACTTGAAGTATCGATGGAAAAGCAATGTGGCGCGGAAACGCCGTTCTCGTCAGCGAGAAAGACCAAAGCACAAGTGTTGTGTGTTCGTTATATATCGAGATACTTTAGATATCGCGAGATATATCACGCTCTCGTCGGGATTTCATCGAGCACACCTCTCTGAATTTTTCCGTACAATTATTCTTTTCAAGAAGTAGACTAGATTGGTAGCAAACGGACATACAATTCTCATCGAAATCTTGTTCGTTTTTTGACGCCGATATTACTTATACACATTCATCACGAAACGTATATAATTACGACACGTATATACCACATATATCATTTAATTCTTTTCATACTTTTTGTCGATCCCACAGACTCGTTACGACCACCATATCGATAACGCTATTTTTTTTAATCTCGCATTCCTTCGCATGGCAGCGTCGTCTTCATCGCTGAAACTTTAGATTTTATTAGATATATTTAGTACACACATCGGTTACAAAGAAAAGGTAAGACGTTGTATAAAATCTTTCTACACCCCGGCCTAGGCGCGTCTATATATCGACTGCTACACAGTCGTATCATCATCTCGTTACATCCATCCTCCATTTGACACCCATCGATCTCTCGTCATCGGAGATTTGGCGAATGTTTCTCCTGAAACGCGGACCGTCATGTGTCACAGAGCTTCATTCGAAGCTTCTCATATATAATCATTTCTCTCCTCCAGGCTTCATCAAACGTGTTAAGTGTCACTGGCGCTCAGACGATTACTATCCAGCGTCGAGCCAGGATAACGGCCGGGCGCCAACAGCCAGCCTCACGTCTTGGCGAACTTGTAGACGACGCCGAACACCAGCACGCTCACCAGCATCAGCACCATCGCGGTCACCACCTTGGCGAAGGCGTTCAGTCCGCTCTCGGTGGGCTGCTGCGATCTTCCGCTCGGCATGCTCTGCTTGGCGGCTAGACCGCGGGCAAGAGCGGGAAAAGCCAGGCTCTGGGTGAAGGTCAGCTTGTGGAGGGACTCTGACAAGGAGTACGGACCTACGGATCCGCGGGCCGCCGCCCTCAACAGGGCATACTCTAGGTCCAGAGCGTCGAACATGCTGTATCTGCTAAACGTAAAAGAGTTTGCAAGTATAATTAATATTATTTTTTTTATTTATTATTTAATTTTATATTATTTCAATATCTTTCTCTTAACATTTTATATTATAATAGTAATTATTTTATTATTTTATTATGTGAACTTATTCTCTCTATCGTAATTTTTTTCACGGTATATGATATCGCTTTGTCTTTCTGTTCGGGAAAATATATTTTACATACGTTACTTTTTTATAATTATTACTGTAATTGGTTTCCTATTACCTATTTTATTTAGTTCGCTTAATTTTAATCGGTTTTTTCTCGAGAATACATTCGCGACTTTAGAAGCGAGTGCAATAATTTTAGCCTCGGGAAATTATGAGAGATCATGTCGAATAAAAAAGGGGAATTGCGTCGACCTCGAGCGGAAACGAAAGAAAGAATGATTTTTTCGAGGTTTTCACCGTAGAAAAAAGTACTTGATATTCGCGTCAAGAATTCATACAGATGGGAGCAATTTCATCGGCATATATATTATACTCATACACATATGTATGTAGGGCCGACGTTGATATACGTCATCGACGCTGATGTACGTTCCGTGTTTGTATTAACGTACATCATGTCAAGGTCGTTCCTTGACACGAGTCAAGACTGAGTCCGGCGTCAAACGCGTGGCGTGCGATAGATTATTTCTGACGTCCGGATCTCTAGGTCTTTGCTTGAGCCACGCACACGTGGCCAAGGATAAGGTCATTTCTAAGTAAATATTTGCGTTGTCGATCCTTCGGGTACGAGGAGATAAAAAAAGTTAAGATGACATATGCGGTGATGCTTTCTCATTAAACTTGTCGCGACTATTTCCAAGTTCTATCTACGATGAGACAATGTCTAGTATGTTGCGTATCTCCGTATTAGTATAACGATTGCTCACTCTATATACTTTAGTTAAGATGTCGAGGGAGATATCGTACTTCATTTGCTGCAATAGCAAAAAATTTTACGATATTGATCTACTTTTTTATTTTACTAACAACCCACGCGCGTCTCATTCATGTGAGACTCGATTATTTTATTTTAGTTATCAGCTGTTATTGTTTATAATGTATAGAAATATTATAAGGTTATTATGACACATTTGTTAGACATAACATTTTTAAATATGTTACGTATTTTATTAAGTATATAAAAACCAAAAACCACATTCTTCAACAAACAGTCTTTTACAAGTTTTTGTTCATAGTCACTTCTAAATTTTTATATTCTTTTGATCGCTTGTAAATAATTATATTCAAATGGCAATTTAATTTTTTAAAGATATTATTTTTCATTTGAATAAAAAATCTTGACTCACACACTATGATCTCCTTTAATACTTCAGCTGTCAAATGAATGACAGATCTTCCTTGATACGAAGTAACGCACGATACATTAAAGAAATTTTACATGTCCTTTCTCAGACTAAATGTATTATAAAATGTATTAAAAAAAAAAGAAAAAAAGTTAAATTATGATAAAGGAAAATAAATTACCTGCTGCTGCGTCTCCTGTCCTGCGAGTGCATCGACACGATCGCCGAGCTCGGCATCGATCGCAGGCTGCTGGTGGTCGAGCTGGAAGGACTGGGCGGTACTGGCCTGTCCTCGTGGTCCTCGTCCACGGACGTTCTGTCCGGCGACGGCGGACTCTTCAGCCCTCCCGCGTTATGGTGGTTGTGGTGAAGATAGGGCAGCTGCAGCCGCGCGTGATCCGGATGCAGCAGGCTGGCGCGCCGCGACTGCTGCGGCGTCATCGCCGGGCTGTTGCACGTGACACCGCATGGTGACGGCGACGCCTTTAATATTAATTTGTCAATCTTCTTTTACAAAATTACCAAGTTTCTATCTTGCGGTAAAATGCCAATTGATTCTAATTTCGGTAAAGGTGCAATCAAAACCGTTTTCTAGACAGGAAATCTTTATAAACGCTCTTACATTCTTCGATAGAAATTCAACTTGACGTGACATTATAACAAAAGATGTCAGAATTATTTGTCCAATCAGTTGGAAATTATGGAGAGAAAAATTAATATCTCTTTTTTTTCTCGTTTTCTTCTCTTCTCGTATACAAAAGTTGCACCTGAATAGATTCGATGCCGCTGTCGTTGACGTTTTCCTGCACGTCTGGGAACACAAAAGCTTGGGCCTGTCCGTCGACGTCGGCTCTGGGGGAGTCGCTGGGCCATATCTGAAGAAGGGGAAGTCCACCGCGGGTCTCGTTGCAGATTTCGGCAGAGACAACGTTGTTTGTCGAACCTCCGGTATTGAGGCACAAACCCAGCTCTCTTAGTGGCTTCTGCTGAATGACATTCAACTCTTATCAAGCTCGCGATTAGTCGCTCCCTCTTTCTTATTAATGATTGGAATCTCCAATCTTTTCTGCTCGCTCTTCGTATATATTCAGACTTGTTCAAAAATTTTATATCGAAATGCAACGCGTCTTGAAGAATAATATTCAATGCAAATATATACGTAAAACGAGATTTGAATTTTTTCTTGCTTGTAGCACGTGCATTTGAAACTGTATTGCCATTGAATTATTACTCGTATCGTGCGACGCGAGAAAAAAAGACTTTTAGTTACCTACTCTCTGACTTTTGATAACAAATAACCAAGTTACTGCTAGAAACTTGGTAATATTGTCGTGACACGAGACAAACATTTTCAGTGACACATAAAAGAGATTTTTCACATGGTTGGATATTAAATATGAAATATTGAAAAGAAAATGTATTTTTAGCTACAGTCGCGCCTTTCAAGAGTGAAATAATTAATCCGTTATTCGGTTCTTTTTTCGTTGAATGAAACTTGATTTTCAATTTCGACGAAATTTGTTTAAGAAAAGATAATAAGAATAACGCAGCGAGATTTCCTCGTGCATAGAATTTTTTAATTAAAATAGAGGTAAATAGTTTCTTTTTTGACAGGTGACAAAACATCGGATCTTATACAAAGTATAGATTTTATAATTGTTCCTAGTAGTGATAAATCGAAATCTTCGGCGTTATATTATTAACAAGTTGTCACGAAATATCGTGTTTGCGTCTACTTATCGATCATTTATACCATAAAATGTACCTCTGACGTCATATCGGTAACCGTATATAACTAATATATAATTACAGTTGAGTGCTGAGTAAACTTTGATGAATCTCGTAATTCCTTAGAAAATTATGATCATGACTAACGGATTAGGTTGTTGGGTTGCTAAATAAAAGCTTCGTAATATATTGCACGACCATGAACTATTCGTGAATAACATACGTCTTTTATTTCACTGAAATCAAATCTGATACATATAATAAATATACACACACGTATCAGATTTAATTTCGGTGAAATAACAATATATACACATATATATCGATATTAGTCTTTTATTGGTATAATGGTGTATGAATTTAGAATAATTAATGTCATAGTGCGCGTGCAATTTGCCTTCAAAGGAAAGAAAATGTCACACGCTTAAATCACAAATAATGTTTTAACCGTTTTCAAGCTACGGAATGACATTAATTACATCATCCTCTAATTCTATATTATATTATATTTTTCATCAAATTATATCGAGTATGTGAGTTAAACATTAATTGTCTTTTAAAAATATTAAAAACTATATTACTCTTGTTACATAATCAATAGTTCCATCTTTCATCAAAAATATAAAATAATAAACGCACACACAATAATTCTCAAATAAATCATATAGAAAATTTTCATCTGAGAGATAACTATTTTAATTTAAAAAACCTCTCTTTTAATTAAACCACTATGATATATCTACTTGGATTAAGAATGCCATTTCAATGATTATCCCTCCAAAATGTCCTACGCTAAAAATGAGCAAGCATTAGGATTAAGCTGTCAAATGAAATACTAATCTCAGCTGTCATTTCTTGCCGATAGTTCTAGCAATTTCTCAATGGATTGTTATTCCTGCCCTTGTTCGTGCCTCACCTTCGGCCTTTTCGCAGAGCTTATTCGTCGCAAGGGCTCCCTATCCGTCGATCGAGCGATCTGATTTTATTAAGCCTGCGACAAGCGTGGATAATAATAATACATGGTTTAAAGTTCAAAATGTCGTCGTCGTCGTCGTACGACAGTCTCGCTGTCACGCAGGAAGCTACACGTCCACCGACGAGCCGGGGGATAAACGGCTCGCTGGTTTCCGGTGCGACGAGCTTGCAAAGGTCGCTCCGCTGTACAAAAAAGCGTCGAGAAAAGGCCGCAGAAACAATGCGAAACAGATCGATAAAGCGCGAGCGAGAGAAAGTGCGTTGTTGGAAAAAAGGCGCATAATTTGTCACGAATTTCACATTCGTTACTCTCTGTCCCTTTCTCTTTAATTATGCCGACAACCTTTGCGTGAGCACAGGTTTTTTAAACGACTTATAGTTAACGCTAGTCAAACGGAAATGTGAATGTAAATAATTTCTGCGCTTTTAGCGAAAGAATATTATATCAAAAGGTTTTTTAAACATACGTAACATTTTAAATTCATATTAAATTCATATTTTATATATTTTTGTATTTTTATCGTCGCTATATTATCAATATAGCAATAGAATTTAATATCACACTCACGAGACAATTTGTTTCCAATTTTTCGACAAAACGAGCTTATAAAATATAAATTGGAAGTACCTAGAAAATATCGATAGACATTTTTAAATATTTACTTATTACTGTGAAAAAAACTGTACAAGTAATATTATACATGATTTATTTTAGGGACGTTTTTTTGGCGTATAAAAACTCTAGTTTAACAGAAAATGAAAGTAACATCGAGGGTTGGCCAAGGAAGAAACACGAAACAGATCGATAGTGCGTGAGCAGGAAGTGTGTCGATAATAGGGCGATAAAACTGGAAAGTCGTAATTGAAATACCATCGGCGAATCGAAACAAGAAACTTATAATTACTTTTACTTCGTCAACAGGCGAGTGAAGAAAAAGAAGCAAGCAACAGTTGATGATTAAACAAGAATGTTGAAACGCGCAAGAAAAAAGTTAGTTTTCTCCTCTAATTTTCATTCCATGTTTTGATATTTACGGCAAAGTTTAACAGTAATTTAAATTTACAACATTTTTTTCCTCCTTATTATTGCTTGATGAAATAATCTCGAGTCATGCTCAAGATTACACCGAGGGGAATGCACGATATTAAATCAGATCGATAATAGAAAGATGCTTTATTTTTCAAGAGTACAAAGCTAGCTTGTTTCCGTGATAAAAAATTCGCGAACGCGACGTCGTCTCCATCGATAGTGAAAACGATCGAAATCACCGCGAGGAAAAGCGCATTAAATCGGATGAAAATAGATACTTATTTGTCTCTCTCTTTGGAAAACTTGTGCCACATTTGACTGATATTTTCCGACTGTCATTTTTCTGTTGCTTGACCAATGTACATACAACGGACACGTGAAACGCGAATAAAATGAAATGTATTATTTTGTGCATCGTCGCATCTCCGGATATGTTGTAAAAGCTTCTCTCTTCGGCGAAGCGGAAGTTGCAAGCGAAACACGAAACTGGCGGCGCTCCAAATTTACTGACGGAAAAATTTCGCAATAAAACATACAAGAATGGTCGAGAATATGTAATATCCATCCGGAGTATAAAAATTCGCGGAAAACCACCTTTCATCTTATTAGCTTTGATCATTTGGATGCAGAGTCAAGAAGAAGTCGAGACAATGTCCTGCACATCCCCTAGGAATTCTTTGCGTATATATCTTTCGCGAAGAGTTTGCGAATTTTGACGCTTAGATAATATTCTCGCACAGGTCCGGGGGAAGTTTGTTTGAACATTTCGAAAACTCGGAAAGTCACTCACATTGCTGCGCGCTTCGAGTCGGAAAACCTCGCCGGCGAAGTTAATGCAAATTGTATCGCGCGTCTGCTCCGGAAGCTGCGTCTCGTGATGCATTTTTCACGATTTAATCTACGAGCAGCGAAAAACGCGCGGCGATAAAAAATATATTATTCTATCACGCTATTCGCGATTAAAATTTGTGTTCCGAGCTTTCTAATAATTTGCGACACCTTCACGGAATTTATATGCTCGCGAACTCGCTAAGTGCTTATTTTATTGAAAGATAGAATCGCGTGAGAAAATTTCGTATTTATTAATTTACGAATAATTAATATGTCATTTCACTTTGTGTCGTCTTAATTCAATTAAACGTTTCGCAGAAGAAACCTAATATTAAATTCTAATATAAATTTTGATGAGATTCCGCCTAAAGTCTGAAGGGCCATTAAAAGCAAATTACGAGGACGGAACTATCGATTATAGAAACGCAAAAAGGCAGATGATAATTATACCGGGACATAGAGCACTGACTCTCATAATAGCGTGAAAAGACATGCTTGTTCGTGACCATGACTGTAAGATCTCGTTTTCCTGTTTAGCCTTGGCACGGGGCGGTCGATGAAGGCGAGGAAAAAAAGCGAGGAGATCGTTTTCCTGGCACGATGCCTGCGTCGACTAAATGAAAAGACCCTTGGTACTCGGAATCGCATATTATACTTTCCAATATTTTACCCAGATATATATATTTATCGCATGCATACGAAAATGTGTCCCCGAACGACGGAGACACGAGGCCATTTTGCAAATTGCATCTGACAGATGAATTCTCATTTATTATACGAGAGAATTAATTCTGGTTTCTCGACACACAGAGGTATATTATAACAGAGGTATATTTTATAAATTGTTAAAAAGAAATATTTCTACTCGATAAATTTGTAATATTTTTATAAATTTTATATATAGTTATTTTTCCTGTTAATTATAGAGACTTTATAGTGACGGATAAATTGAAAGAAAAATATCGATAGGCAAAGAGTAAGAAATTTAGTATAGATTATATTACGAAGATGGTTACTTGGTAAAATAAACTCGGAATCGCTGTCAATTTCAACCCCTGGAATTTCTCGGTTGTTTTAGGTCGGTACGTCGCTCGTAAACTGAATCCAACAAGTTTTTATAACGGTCGACCCGTGTAATTTAATTTAATCTATAAGGACGTATCATAAAATGTACTTTCGAAATGTAATAAAAGCACGATAAAAGTGGAAAGACGAAAAGTAACGAAATAAATTTATACGAGAGATACGTGCCGAATTCGGATGCGGAAAAAGTGAGCGATCTATATATATAAATGAAATATATAGTTAGAGGCGATTGGATTGGAGAAGCATTCTATGAAAACAAATATCTAAAAAGTTCAATTTACTTTAATAATAACCATTGTTTGTATGCTCTTTTTTTCAGCAATATCGCAATTATTTGCGATACAGCAGCGAGATGGAGTGCAGATTGCATAGGACGGGATTCCGACCCACCTGTATGCTTCTCGCACCCGTTGACTTTCGATCACGAACGCGATCAAATCTCAAGCACAAAAGGAAATAATCAACGTTTCTTTTTTTTTTTCGATTTACATAACACTGATGGCGATCTACGCACTCGTTCTTCAAATATTATACAACGAGATAATTACGAAAAATCATTTCACCACATAGTACATGCATACGTATAATATCGCGAATCGCCACACGTAAGAAATCAGTTCACTCGCCTCGGTCATAAATCACAACCCCCTAAACAAATCATGCTCGAATCTCAAGGAAAAAAATCCCCTAAAATATCACACCGCGATAACCGCGTCGTTCGAAAGAAAAATTAAATAAAAAAAAAAAAAAAAGAAAGAAAGAAGAAATGGGGCGCGCGCCCCGATCGATCGATCCTACCTGCATGCTTCTGATCGCATGCCAGAAGATCCCGGCACGATCCTCCGAGGCGTCCGTTTACTTGGTCCAGGATTACGACGACTTGGACACTCGGCGGGCTCGGTTCTCCTCGGGATTCGAACTGCGACTGCGATCCGGCCGCGCGCGCGGCAGAACCGTGTGCTTCGCTCCGCGAGGATTGGCGGTCCGGACGGGGAAGGGATGAAGGGAGCCAGGTGGATGGGGGTTGTTTTCGCTCTGGTGCGAGGATGCGACGAGGGTGAGAGAGCGGTCCGTTTATCGGGCGATGAGCCGCGTCTTGACAGGTTCGGACGTTTAGCTTCTCTCGAAACGTATGTTTCTTCCTCCGCTCGGTTCAATCTTTCAGCAAGGACAGTCCATGGGGAGAATAAGAGGAATGTTCGCGTACACACGTTTGCCATCCCGCACGTTTTTATTATTTCATATCGTTTATTGCGTAAATAGATGATATTATGTGCGTGGTATTATTTGGATATTTTCCTATATATACGCGAATGACCGAAAATGTTAAAAAATGTTCGCTTCTCTTTCTCGCTCTCTAATTCGCTTTTTTGAATTATTTAGATTTTTAATGTCAAGCTCATTTCTCTCATAAAAACTATTTATATGGTTATATTACCAAGTACAACTCTACAATTATGAACTTGATAAATATATTATTAGAGAGCAGAAAAATTAAAATTTCTTTATTAGGTAAACAAGTAATAAAATATATAATAGTTTTAATTTTAAAAGCAAACAATTCATTTTTATACATTGAAATCTAAACTCTCGATAACTTTTTTTTTTATTTTTCATTGGTTAATCAACTTTGTTATCTTTCTTGTAGCAGCCGATTTCGATAGATTCGATTAATTGTTGATCTACGGTAACTGCTGCGTTCCAATTACATATTGCCAATTAAACTAATTGCGTAGCTCGTAACAGACTGGAATACGAATGATCCCCGAACGAATGCTGTATTCAGATATATTTATCTCTGGTGTATTAAAAAACAGGAGATTAAATTGATCGCAATTTTCGTTGATATTGCTTTATCGTTAAATAAGCTTTATATAAACCCGAGCTTTCAAGAAACATACACATCTAGTCGGGGAAAGTAAAGGGAGAGACGTTAAGTCGGATTTAATGGGAATTTTGAAGAAGAAAATTGAAGGGGAAGAGACGAGTCGTCGTGGGATTGCGAATCCATATTGCGAAAAATGTTATTCTCTGCCCAGCTTATGTTTTATAAAGAAGAAAAAAGATTGAAAAGGGTCCGGTTATTTCTATTGACTAGAAAAAAGTATGACAGCCATTCAGACAGAATACATAGAAAATCGAATAACGGGGGATAAAGAGAGATAAGAAGTAGACGTCATTGATGACATCTCTCGAAAGAAATCGCGATTGACAAAGAAAATACTGAAGAAGCTATCGTGGCTTTCGGAGAATGAAAGCACGAAGCAAACATCAGAATTTAGGACACATTTGAGAATATCACTTGATTCTCGTGCGAGAGCACGAATTTCGTATCACGATAAATTGGATAGTAACCGTACAAAAGGCTGTTAAACGCTGTCCTATTTGCTTTAGACGTCGCTTCTCCTGCCTAGTTTGACGATATAGCGAAAATTAACGTTGATATGCGCGGAAAGGATCTGGGAATGAGATGCGCAGGAGAAGATACGGAAGAGATAATGGAATATTCTCTGCACACATAAATGTAAGAGGACACGAGAGGAGGAAACGCGCTCCATCTCCGGATAGACAGACGTAATTTATTATGTCATGTGAAGAATCTCGACGCATACCGGGATAAAGGTATAGAATAATCCAGCCTTTACGCCTGCCAGAACGAAGAGTAGCAGCCATTAATTGTAAGTATTGTCGAAAAGGGAATATTATATGCCGCACACATCGTCAAAAAATAAAATAAAAAAATCGCGAAAAAAAAAAACAGAGAGAACACGGAAAGGGATACACAATAAGGTAGAACAATGCGAATTTCGAGAGATTCGCCGCGACGAGAGGTGAATGTTCAGTGACAAACGGAAGAGAAGAAAGGAAGACCCGCAGACGTCTCGTTTGTCATTTCCGACAATTCCTACAAAAGCGACACAGGTGACGAGGAGGAAAATTGGCGTCTCGCTCCGACATTAAGGAAAGACCGAGCCAGCTGATCTTTTTCAGTCCGTCGACTCCAATAAGCGGCCACCCACGAGGTCGCTAGACTATCGCGATGCCAGGTGGTATCGGATATCAGACGCACCCCCTGGGTTCGGAACAAAGCGTGGAACGTGGGTGAGACAAGGACGCGAGAGGGTGGCAGCGAGAGAGAAAGGGAGAGGAAGAAGCGAGGACGCGACGCCGGCGCGGCAGAAATCCCGTAGGTCAAGGTTACCAACCATCGGCCAGCGCCATCGACAACCCCCGAGTGGAAACCGAGCGTACGTTTACGGCCCTGGAGTTTCTGCTCCTAAAACGCCGGCGGCGAGAGAGCCTCGTGCAGGACGATCTTCGGACACCCCTTCGCATCCCTCTCGCCTCCTTTGTCCCTCTCTCATCCCCCTGAAATCGATATATCTACCTACCTACCTACTCTCCGGCAGCTCGACCGATCCGCGCGCAGGCAAAACAGGGCATCCTGATGCGCCGCGCAATGCGGCTGCATCGCAGCTTCGATGCGTGCGTACGTACGCAACCCTCGCGTCACGTGATAATACCGCGATTCGCGATGATAAACGCACTCGAACGCCACTCGAACTTTGTTGTTCTGTTTCAGGCGATACGGTGACGTGACGTTTTTGCCCGCGGATATTATCGGATTCCGCTAGAGAGAGAGGAATTAAACATTTATTTTTCAGGGGACAGAGAGAATTCTATATGCTCCGAATTGACGCGACGCGTTCGACATTTATTCTATATTGATGACGAGATCGGTGGCGCAACTCGCATCTCGTGTTACAACGTGATCGATATTATACGTCCTACGAGTCCCTCCGAGACCGATCTGTATCCGATAAATTGAATATCGACGAGGACACACGTGCGGTTGCTCATCTGGTCTCTCAAGACGATATAAAAATCGACAGTCAAGGTCGAAAAGATACGGAACACCTCGGGGGTGTAGTTGCGAAATTATGGGCGGTTGACGTTCTATCGATCATCGGCGCATCCATTTCATTACATACGATCGATTTATCTCCGAGAGAGCGAGAGCGGCTGGATAAGTCGCGTATATTTACACGCGAAGCTTTTTTAACAATTTTACTCCAATCATCGACCGCGATTGCTTTTTATAACGGAATATATTATCATTTATTAATTATTATTCATTTGATAACATAATTCATTAATATAGAATATATAATTAATTAAATATATTATAATAATTAATATACAATATATATAATTAATTACATATATAATTAATTTGGGTTTTTTTTTATTTGATCGTTATATGAAATTTGTCTCGGGGAGAAATCGCATTTCTTAATTCTTGCGGACTCAACTTCCGGCTGCGAAGTTCAAGCGTGGCTAATGCGACGAGAAACAAAGAGAGATAGAGAGAGAGAGAGAGATTACGCGATGGTTATGCGTTCTAAAACGATAATAGGATCGAGCGGATTTCCGCTTAACAAGCAAGATTTAGTAAGGCCATTCGGTCAACTGCGCGAATAAACTGCGCATTCTGCAAGATATGCACATGAAACCTCACCGTAAAACAGAATGCGGACCTCTGAATATTCAACAGACTTCTCTCCCCGTAATATACACTCTTAAAGGACTTCTATTTTCATCCGCTCTGCAATTGCGAGAATATAAATATAAATAATTCCGCCTTGAAAATGGAGAGGCGGGAGAAAACGTTGTCTCAAGGTACGATCTTCAAGGTGCCTTCGAGAAATATCTCGATCAAACGTAATAGAGGCTATTGAATTAAAGAGAGAGAAGGGTAACGCGAAAAAGAATAGAAACGTATGAAAAAAGATATGTATGTATACATATATGTAACATGGAAAAGTGTTTGATCGATTTTTCCGATCAGCTGTCTGTTTCATTTTTTGCGTCTCATCGTCGACGTTATTCAAATCCCGCCATGCTTTATGCAAGCGCTTTTGAACCGCCGATCGATGAATTTAACCGCGGGACGACATTGTCAAACCGCATTCACCTCGTCGTTTATTCGTGACGTTGTACGAAAATTGTCTTATAGCTATTTAGCTGCGACTTTCCCCGGGGAATCACGCTAACTTCGCGAAATCCCGCTGCACATCCTGCGATATGTCATACATCCAACGCTGGTGCTTTCGTGCACCTTTTCCTTTGATTAATTCAGACTCCGTTTTCAGACAGTATCGCGTGTCTATGGAATGTCTGTGTGGAATAATGCGGATCTGCGTGCAAAAAAATATGTACGTAACTTTCCTCCTGACGAAGAATAATTTCGTTAAAAATTTATTCAATTTCGTGCGCCATTCGCAGCAAATAGCGAGATGAATCATATGTCATGAGAATAAATAAGAATAATATAAAATAATATATTATACATATATAACATATATTACATTATATTCATTTACAAATATGTAGATAATGTAGAACTGAAGGATAATATAAACGCAGTTTCTCATATATCTGAAATAAAAATCAATATTTACTATTGTCTGCCATTAACAATAATAAAATGATATTTAAATAATTATATATAATTTTTGAAAATTCTATTAAGATAAATAAAAATGAGAGAGAAAGATATATAACTAATGGGTAGCGCGAAATCAATGTGTCATCGAATGTAAAATTTATTTCAGCAATCAAATAATGTAATTGTATTTACTCTATTCAAATTATAAACTAATGCAGCTATTAATATCCAAATAATTTAATCGAAGAAATATTTACTCTTGAACATTAATTATGTTATTATCTTCGAAAATGTTTTAGATGAGATGTAAGAGATGAAACAAAACAAAGTTACGGATACGAATTACGGGGACATTCATTAATTACCGCACGAAGAAATAATTTACTTCTAAATCAGAATCAGTATCCAAGAGGAGAACTCTCCATGATCGATTCGCGATAACGGCGACCTGTCAGCGCGAAATCCTTGCATGTCTATCCAAATGAATTCGTTTACTCAGCGATTTACCGCAAATTATACTCATTTATATCTCACCAAAGATCGTTTGCGATTTTTTTTTCAATTCGCAAAGATCTACAAAGTGAACTCAATAAGTCTCGCTCGATCGTCGGGGATCGAGGATCAACGATCTACGATCGACGGTGTGTTGGATCAACGAGAGATGGAGCCCACGGTATAACAAAGTGGCGGATACATATAATGTGCGTGAAATGCTGCAGCGAACGTACATATGACGACGATACCTTGGCCGCGGGCAGAGAAAGCTTTATACCTCGAAGGCTCCGCTTGACGGCGCCTGGCTGCTGACTTTGCCTCCGACACGTCGCCTCGTCTTCATTTCCTTTCACCGCCGTGGCATATGTCACGTCAGGGCCGCACCGATCTCCGAGAAGGCACGCAATTAAGGAACCTCGCCCGAAAACGGGAGGTTTTCTCGTGTAGTCCGAAAGTCTTCTCTATACCGATTTCTCGAGACTCGCTAATGAAATTTAAAATGCATAATAGAATTTCGAATCTTGTTAAAGATCGCAATCGGCGCATAAATCGGCAGGAAGATTGAAAGGCCTTCAACACGTGAGATGGAATATATTCCGCAACATTTCATGTATTTGCAGAGTACTAAATTATATGCATTTGTACGTCTCGATTTCTACGCGATCACTATACTCAGGTGCCATTACCATTGACATTTCGTTTCGAACCCTTTCTGCTGATAGTCGTCCTCCGATCAGTCGCGAGTCGGTCGACTACGGCAAATTAATTTCGCTGTCGTCATCGATTCCGCGATTGGCATCGATCTCGCGGCTTTGCAAAATGATTATCGAGAGATCTTCCTCTCGGAATAAATCGCGATCGCGCGGACGCGATTCGTCCGCTTTCTAAACCCGACGCGAAGAGCCAAGCGTTCGCAATTACGTGAATCATCGCTGCGCTTTAGAGATCGCAGCCGAGACCCGGGATAACGTAACCTGTCGCTCGGGAAGAAGGAAGAGCAGGTCGAGGATGAACGCGAGCGAATTTTTGAGTAAGCTTCCTGCTCTCGAGATCCTCTGGATCCAGGAAATTCGTCGAAATCGTCGCAGGAGGATTTTCTCGATTTAGCGAAAGTACATAAAATCAAGTTGAAGGAAATTATCGATGATAAAAAGAATCCTGTCGAGTCGCGTAATTGGTGATGATGCGATGCATCTTGATGATGGCGTGCTCGCGGTTAAACGTTGTCGGGTTTCTTTTTTCCTCTTTTTTTTTTTTACGCGGTAAAGGGCGAATTCCTTGTTCTCAAGGTGTCAGATTCCCGGCGGAGATGAAGCGATGTAAACGCATCGTCGTAGACTCGAGAAAGGAACGCAAAGAGAGAGAGAAGGTGAAGTAAATATTATATCGCGTGGCCATTAATTTAAAAACGCACGCTCGTTACACTGAACGTGCGTTAGGCCGAGACATACTTTCTAGCAGTTTCGTATTTGCTGTTCAGTGAACATTGTGTTCACGATTGCGCCATACGAGAGAGGCGCGCGCGAATTATCCTGCCGGAAAATGCGAAACGAAATCCAGAAATCCTCATCATCTTTTTCTGTTCGCGAAATGACTACCTGTTATTCGACGAAAGTTTCGCGAGCAGAATTTTTAATATGGTATAAGTCGTTCAGTATATAAAGTTGCATATCCAAAAGTCTGTCTTGCTATCTCTTCTATATATATATTAATAAAAGCTATATATATTAATAACGTTATATATATATATATATATATATAATATATACGAATAAAAACTATATATATATTAATAAAAAATATATTAATAAATAAAAATGTTATAAAAATATATCCACACAGTAGCGCGTCTATTGTCACCACGTGGAATTTACGAGCAAAGGCACATTCCCGGGTCCATCGATGGCTTTTCTCGCCGAGTCATCGATTCGCAATGAAATGCGATCCAACGGCGGGATCCTCGAGTTGAAGAGATCATTCGCTTGGCATTTACCTCGATGACGATGGTGCAATAATGACGCGTGCGAAGAGCCGCGCGCCCAAAATGCCAAGCGAGCCCTTGCCCTCTCTCTCTCTCTCTCTCTTTCTCCTTTACTCTGACATTTGAAAAAAATATCCGCGCGAACGATTATGCCCGCGGGTAATTATGGCATTGTGTCGAGAGGCGGCGCCGCCGCTTTCGAGACACGATTGTGTCACGATATTGTGATATTTCGATATTCGGTCTATCATTAAGCGGCGATCGGGACCGCAAACGAGACTGCATCCACGACCGTTTCACTTTCGACCGCAGATCCGCCACCGACGACGATGACAGACGGCGGCGTGGCTTCGACCAAGTCGACGAGTGTCCGTATAGTTTGCGTAAAATATAATATCGCGAGGCAAGAAGCAAAAAGAGTCGACGATACGGCTCGATATTTATCCGCTTCATTTCGCGGCGTTATGTAAAAATCTTAGGTCATTGTAGAAAGCTGCTTGCAGGCAGATTTTCGCGACTTGTCGATCGATATAAACAAATATTACGTAAAACGTTCTTCGATGGTCGTGATAACGTATTAATTCAGTATCGCTCGCGCGATACTTTCCACTAATTGCACTACGAAAACGTTTAGTTTTCTACGTAAAAAATCCGAAAAATCCTATGCTTATACTTTCATAGCTCGGCTCCATTCGCAGCTTTGCAAATGAGTTATTTCACGATGTCTCGCGAGAAGTGTCGATAAAGTAATAATGAAGAAGGAAATTATTGACGATGCTGTAATCCCTATTATATGAAGCCAAGGATAATTTAAATCGCAACATCTCGTCGCTACAATGTTGAGTTAAGAGGAAGCTCAAGTATTCCTGACTTCCCTCTCGAGAAAGCGATCTCTGCGGCTTAAATATCCGATAAACTAGGAAGTATTTAAGAATTGCGTGCTTAAACTCACGATGATGAGAGAAAGAAAGAGAGACAATAAGTACCATCATTATTTCTCCGACCGCGTCTGCAATTTTGATCGCAAACTTTGACAGCGTTTGCTTTTCGACCGAAATATTTTCCTCTCGTCTCTTGATCTCATCGAAACGCACCGAACGAAACGATCTATCGAAGGAGGGTCGTTATTCTCGCGACCTTGACAAACTTACATCATCGCTGTCTCTCGTCACTTTCTCGTTTTGTCGATGTAAACTCGCCCAAAATGTCAACGATGCACCGTAAAAAAAAAAAAAAAAATAATAAATTAGCCTTATTTTTATTCTCGAAGAAGATTTCAAATTACCATAATATTATATAAATAGATTGAGAATTAATTGTTATTGTCGATAAAGTTATCCTAACTTGTCAAATTCACTAATTTTACAAGATGTTATACGTAGATGAACTTTGGATGATTTCATTTTACTACTTCTTTATATCGTTGGCCATAAATTTTGCCGAGCGCAAATTCATGTGGCCCTCCATTAAGGGCGAGGAAGATAAAATCAAGAGTGTGTCGTTTCGTTCGGGCATTTTATGCGAACGCGTAAAGTCACTCGGAGCCGGGAAATAAGTTGCCGCAGATACTTCTCTTTAAGTTCCTAGGTCGAGGTCATATTGCACGAACCTACCGCACCGACATACTAGAAGAATCGCTGTACCTTGTACTTTCGTAGCGCCGGGAAAGTATTGACAAGCTGTTCTCCGTACCCGTTCTTACGAGCAAACGATTAATGATAATCATAGATCAAAATATCCTCAAGGAGATATCTAGAGATTCGTTGCCGAGATGAAACCTTCATATCGCTCTAGATAAACTTGCTATGAGCTCCATCAAATTTCCATGACATATCCAATTATTTTTGGATTTTCCAAAATTATGACACCATGTGATTTCAAATATTAATCGTGATATATCGTTTTCGAAGCAACTGGTACCTTTGATCAGGGCGCTGTTCAGCAAAAGCCGAGAATTCGCATTTGTCCATAATAAGGTACCTCATCAGGTTCTCGCGGTGTCTCGGAAAAGCGACGGTTTCGATTCGTACGTTCCTGAATCGACGTTGGCACCGTCTACGCGGACGGCAATGCTCGAAGAGATGAGAAAGAGGGGACCCGATCGAGCACCATGTCGTCGTGGTGGTGGCAATATAAGGCCCGACGAGTGGCGGGCCTCAGCCAGTCCGTTGAGCGGTACCTACACCTTCAAGGTCCGTGTCCTTGAAGGCGTCCTCGATTTTCTCGTCGTCCCGGGTTATACACGAAAAGGATCGCCGCCGTGTTGGGCGTCTCGCGACCGAGATCTCTCTCTAGCTAAGGATCTCCCTTTTGCACCCGACTTCCTTTCCTCTCCGAAAACGTCATCGTTCCACCCTGAGATTGAATTCTACCCTCTCATCCTTCGCTGATCAGGAGCGATCGAACGGGAGTGATTGAAGGAGTGAAGAGATTTAGGTGCAAGACGAAGTAGAAGAAGAAGAAGAAGACGACGTCGAAGAAAGGAAGTCACGTTCCCCGCCGAGGATCAGGACGAGCATGAGGTCCTCGCTGGTGCTGCTCCTGGCAGCAGCTCTCGTCCTTGCCGGTGAGTAACCAGATTTCTTTGGCCAACTCTCTCGAAGCCAAGATATCGCTTCACACTTCGAGTAGCCGCATATCGAATTCTCTTCGTGGCGGGGCGCGCGAGAGTTCTACGAGCCTTCCGGTCAGGCGTGGGAGACAATTTTTCTCGCGAACTTTACCGAGAACCGATTTTTTGCCACCGATCATTTATACGTAACGATAATTTCACCGATTTTAAACATGCTATATTTTTGTTACGTCTTCTGTATTATCTTCTACATTTATTCGAGGATTGAAAATTGCGGACGTGACTTGCGATATGATCGCAATCTTGAAAGAAAATGCTGATTGAAATCTCTTCATAGTTGTATTAATTAATTTTATATTCAATTATATTAAAGTAGAGTAGTATTAATTAAGTTTTTTTAAGTTTAGTCGTATTAAATAAATTTCTTACTAAATTATGTTAAGCTGTAATTAGTTACATTAATTAAGTCTCATATTAAATTATGTTAAACTATAATTAATATATCGTATAAATAGAATGATATATAAATTATATTGATATTAATTAAAAATTATATATTTAAAATCTAGATACTTTTTGATCTAATAAATATTAATTATACTAAGAGAGAAAAATAAGTAAATATGTAAATATATGTAGAATATCAGACGCGAAAAATATTTAAAATGTAACACAGATGGTCACGTGAGATCACGCATAGTGACAGAGCCATTTAAAATGGCGAAAGTGTCACTGCAATCTGGTCATTTGAGATTTTCTCGATTCATTCCTGTATATTTGGTCATGCGAGTCCATAAATTGCTCTGTTTACTTTTCTTTTTACATCATATTATAAATAAATGATATTTGATAAGAGGATTAATCTAATAGTTGATCGTCGGGACAAGTTGCATAAGAGATTAGAGCGTGAAAGCTCCTCGGCCCGGTCAGTCCCGGATAGGTGACGTCACTGCCGTGCCCCAGGCATATGGAAATAGTAAGTGGGGGCACAACTTTCCCCGTCGTTCCACCATAAAGTCGCCTCGCAAGCCCGAGGGACCAACGGGAGCAAACGTTTATCTGATATAGATATATATTTCCTCGGATAACAGAATCCTGACAGGCGTCTCTAAAGATTAAAGCTTTATGATTGATATATTAATTTATAATACTTAAAGTGGCAAAGTCACTTTGAAGTGCTATAAACATAAATCTTGTCCCTTTTGTGCAAAAATTTTTTTAAATGAAAAACCGTAAAAGATCAATTTCATTAACTTTAAGCTTATTAGCGAACGATTATAAATTATTCGAGCGATATCTAGAACTCATAAAGTATGCTGCTTGATCCTGATTCAAAGTTTTGATAATCACAATCACACGTTTGAAAGACTCAATCGTTTCTAATGAACAATATAGATGTGTGAATTATATAGAAATTACTATCATAGAAAAGTAAATTAAATAATTTCAAGAGGGATGATTTGAATCACAGACGTTTCGTGATCTCATTTTATTAATATTTTTCAAACAAAGCTGACAGATATTTTTATGTCTCGTATAAAATAATTATAAGTGTTATATATGTATTAAAATCTATCTATTTTTACTATAATTTAATTTTTTCTCCAAAGTTATTTTAGAAGATCAAGTGCGTTTCTTAGAATTAAAAAATATTGGCGAATTATTAATTTCAGACAAGATAAAGTCTTTATCACACCGCAAACTTCATGTCTACTTTCAGAGGGCTCGAGCCGAGTTAAGCGACAGGACGACAAGAAGGAGGAGAGCTTTGAGAACGAGATCTGCAAGGATAAGGATGCCGGAGAATGGTTCAGATTGGTCGCTGGCGAGGGTGATAATTGCCGCGACGTAATTCAATGCACAAGTTCCGGTCTGCAGGCAATAAGATGCCCGGCCGGTCTTTACTTCGACATCGACAAGCAGACGTGCGATTGGAAGGACTCCGTCAACAACTGCAAACTGAAGAACAAGGAGAGGAAGGCTAAGCCTCTGCTTTATACCGAGGAGCCGCTTTGCCAAGACGGTTATCTCGCGTGCGGCGACGGATCTTGCATCGAGAGAGGTCTCTTCTGCAACGGCGAGAAGGACTGCACCGACGGTTCCGACGAGAACATTTGCGGTGAGCGATTCATTCTCGCGCAAAGCGGAGATGTCATTTACAACAAAAAATGGTTAATAATATTTTTCGCCATTTCTTCCATATTTCAGATATGGACAACGATCCTAATAGAGCCCCACCATGCGACCCCGCCGTGTGTGTTTTGCCCGACTGTTTCTGCTCGGAGGATGGTACGACGATACCCGGGGATCTCCCGTCCAAGGATGTGCCGCAAATGGTTACGATAACCTTCGACGACGCCATCAACAACAATAACATCGGCCTCTACAAGGAGATCTTCAGTGGTAAACGTAAGAATCCGAACGGTTGCGACATCAAGGCTACGTTCTTCGTCTCGCACAAGTACACTAATTATTCCGCGGTCCAGGAGATGCACAGAAAGGGCCACGAGATCGCCGTTCACTCTATCTCGTAAGTATTGACTTCTCTTATTCTAACAATCTCTCATTTCTCTCGCTTCCACGCCATCTTCGAAAGCCATCGCTCGAGTTGATTACGAGACTCTCTCGAGCGCGAGGTTCCAGGGAAACCGATTCAAAACTTAGACTGGAAACGACAGGTTCCCGAATACAGGTTCCTGCGATGCGTCGTCTCTCGTTCACGACCATAGTCATAATTGTTAAAAATCCAAACACGGTCACTACGTAAAATGTTTACATGACAACTTTGGGGCAAGGCATAACGACGACGAGCGCTTCTGGTCGGACGCGACCGTCGACGACTGGGCGAAGGAGATGGCCGGGATGAGGATCATCGCCGAGAAGTTCGCCAATCTGACAGACAACAGCGTGGTGGGTGTAAGAGCGCCGTATCTGCGAGTTGGTGGTAACAATCAGTTCACCATGATGGAAGAACAAGCCTTCCTGTACGACTCCACTATTACCGCGGCCTTGAACAATCCCCCGTTATGGCCGTACACCATGTACTTCCGGATGCCGCATCGCTGTCACGGAAATCTTCAGCACTGCCCGACCAGGTAGACCGCTATGTAATCTCTCGATCAAAAGTTTTCTCGTTTCTTAAGTATGTATATGGTAACAAGAATGTTTTACGTAATCCTTTAAAGATCGCACGCTGTCTGGGAGATGGTGATGAATGAATTGGACCGTCGCGAGGATCCGCAGAACGACGAGTACCTGCCCGGTTGTGCCATGGTGGATTCTTGCAGCAACATCCTGACCGGGGATCAGTTTTACAATTTCCTCAATCACAACTTTGACCGTCACTACGAGCAGAATCGCGCGCCCCTCGGTCTTTACTTCCACGCTGCCTGGCTGAAGAACAATCCCGAGTTCCTGGACGCGTTCCTCTATTGGATCGACGAGATCCTGCAGAGTCACAACGACGTCTACTTCGTGACGATGACCCAGGTGATTCAGTGGATCCAGAATCCGCGCACCGTCACCGAGTCGAAGAACTTCGAGCCTTGGCGGGAGAAGTGCACAGTGGAAGGTCCACCGGCGTGTTGGGTGCCTCATACCTGCAAGTTGACCTCGAAGGAGGTGCCCGGAGAGACCATCAACCTTCAGACTTGCGTGCGCTGTCCCAACAATTATCCCTGGGTGAACGACCCGACCGGTGACGGCTTCTTCTAAACTGCCGAAAGCGCGATCCTTCTTTTCGTCTAAGTCAACAAATCCCTTTTCTCTATTCTCCACTTCCCTCTTTCTGATCTGTCAGTATCCTCGAGGCTTTCGAGAGCAACGACGACGAGGCACGCGAGAAGAAAGGAGAAGAAACGTCGTCGTCGATTTGTTAGACTCTGGCGACTCCGCTCTAGTTGCCAATAATTTCGCTGTTTTATTTTCGAGAACGATGTGTATCTGTGATGATTAAGTTCAGTTCGATTAAGAACTGTGATGATTAAGTTCAGTTCGATTGAGAACTAGAACATACTACACGGAGTCTAATGGATTGAAGACGAATGAAACGCAGGAAAGCTTTCTATCCGCTTCGCGTTCATCGAAATTATCGGGAAAAAATTAAACAAAAAATTATTGCATTATTATTCGAAAAATTTTTTTCGCGCGTGCCTCGTTATCAGCTGGTAATTAAAGCTAACGTTCATCATACGCCAGCAATCTGTGATAGACTCCCTAGGAAGGCGACGTCCTCGAAACCCTCGAGGCAACTACGATGATGACGACGACGACGAAGAGATTCGTGCGCATTCCATTCGAAAAAACTGCACAAAAGCAAAGCAAAATATCGCGCCCCACCCGATCCCACAAGGAGAAATCGTGGATTTCCTTCGATGGCGGCGACTGGCGATCCGCGAGTGGGATTCCGTGTGTAATATAACCGTGTCCTCTTCTTATTCTCTCTTTCTTTCTCGCACCTCTGATTTCCCAACCGCGATATCGATCTATCGGCGAATATGCGCCTTCCTTAAATTCCCCTTCTTCTCCTTTCTTGGAAGTAATCCATGAAGACCGCCAGATTAATTGTTCCCTGATTCGAAGGGTGCCCTTACTTTTTAAGGGTTCCGCCGATTTATATATAAATATATATATATATATATATATATATATATATATATAAATTTATATATATATATGGAAATTAAAATATTGTATATGTATATTTGTAAAAGTAAGTGATACTACCAACATAGCGTTCGCTCGACGAATCTTTGAATAAAAAATTCTGAGAAATCTCACACACGATGCCTGTCTGTCTCGTTCTTTCTTTTACTCCTGAAAGCGCGAGCGCTCGTCGTTATATTTATTCATTACGATCGTACGGTAACGGAATGGAAAGTCGGGTATGTTTAATAGACGTCGCAAACTTGACCGCCAAACTGATTCTAAAACGCAAGAGAGCGCGGATGCTCTTCATTCATTCGTTCGTTAATTTTCTCGTTACTCTGTTTTTGGTTCAACCCGTAAGGATTTCGAAGCGCAGTTCTAAGACTCAACCGGGAATTATTAATGTGTATCATTAAAATCTCGCGGTGCAGAATATCCACTGAGGAAGAAAGAGCTCCGGAGAAAAATCTCGTTAATGAATCGCGATCTCGCCAAGTCTTTCTCTCTTTTTTCTCTTTCGCAAGAAAGGCGATTCGAACGTTTTCTCGGTCGATTTGCGTCTGGTTGGCGTCGTATTAAATGTTCCGATATGCGATCGCGATGCGTGCTACAAATGCACGTACATACATACATGACGAATACGAGAGTTCAATTTATACACAACGATGAAAACCTCATTCCGGTTTCGTTGCTGGTGCTCTGAAAATCTCGCTCACGTGTCTCGGCTGCCATCCAGCCGCCGTCGCGGCCTTGATCTGAATGCGATGCCATGGGTATCGATGACGAGCGAAGAATTAAGAAGGACCCGATCCTCCCACGCCTTGAGAAAACCACTCCAAGAAAGTGCTCCGAATTTCGAACATTGCCGATACTCCGAACGATTCGATTACATCGCGATTATAGTTCTATCAATTTATACATGTATATATTTGATTGTCAGTCATGTCTTGAGCGTTACGTCATTTCTTTGATTATTAAAATAAATTGCAAGAGTTTAATAACAATAAAGATCATTCGAATAGTGCTATAAATTCATCGCTGCGATATGAATGAAATTTTATTTATCGTGTTATTTCACATCTCTTCCTGATAATAAACAATATATAACTATTTACATATACGTTTTCCTTAAATTAAAAAATTTGCAAAGTGAATAAAAATTTTGTGTCAATATAATCTGTGATGCGGTGATTAAAAATACATCTTGAAAGAAGAAAGCACACGAGGAATTCAAACGAGAGGAGTGCATTTACAATATAACTTGCAATGAAGCGCAAAGCTCGTGGATGACTTTATCAATTTATACATGTAATATTTGATTGTCAGTCATGTTTTGAGCATTATATAATTTCTTTGATTATTATTATTATTATTATTAAAATAAATTACGAAGGTTTCGATAACAATAAAAAGCATTGAACGACGCTCTAAATCCATCGCTGCGATATAAATAAAATTTAATTGATCTACTATTCCACACCTCTTTCTCACAATAAACTGTATAACTATTTACATATACCTTTTCTTTAAATTAAAAAATTTACAAAGCGAATAAGAATTTTGTGTCGATATAATTTGAGATGCGGTGATTAAAAATACATCTTGAAAGCAGAAAGCACGCGAGGAATTAAAACGAGAGAAGTGCATTTACAATAGTGCATCGCAATGAAGCGCAAAGCTCTTGAATGGCTCTTCGCTCTTCCCGTCTTAAACGGTTATCGAATTTGCCTTGCTAATTAAGGCGGGATTATGCTGCCGTTATGGCAGACGTTGTCGGGAACGACGTTCGCACATGTTCGACGATAATGCAAGATCGTCGTTTCCATCGCTTTATTGTTCGCCGCAGGAATCGGAGAAAAAGAAAGGATTCGCGCGCGAGACGGAGAGAACGGCAGAAAAATAATGATAATCCCGTGAAATATCACAACCGGCCCCATCGACTGGTTGCATTCCTATGCAGCCTCTCTTTCGTCGCCTCCGTTTAAAGCGTCGTCCTTTCCACGCGTTCGAGACGAGCTTAATCAAGCGTTAGGAAAGGATTCCACAGTTGATTCCAAGGGGCTTCTCTATCCCGACGAGCAACAGGTTTCTCAATCGCGATCGTAAACACACGACAGACCACACGATTGCTCGTACATTTTTTCCCCCTTTATTCTTATTCTCCCTTTTTATATTCGCCTCCCAATTTTACGCTAAATTAAATTAATGTATTTGTACGTACGATGGATTTAAACGATAAACGAGGTCGCATTGTTTTTCCTTCCTTCACTCAAATGCCTACTCATAATCTCGGTCGCAAGCATTTTTACGCCTGGTATAAACTCTTTGTTGGATAATTTTTTTGCGTCACGCGTGGATGGGAAGGGATCCACCCACGATCAAATGCCATTTATCCGCGGAAAGAATGTCGATAGTTTTCGCAATAACAAAGGCGGCATCCTTAAAGTAGCACTTTGATAGCGCTCATCGATCAACCTTTCTCCGCTCCATTAAATACTTGATAGAAATCGGTAAAGATAATAGTTGCCGGAAAATTTTTATACAATATTGAATCGCTCAAAGTACAGTGGCAACTAATGGACTATCATAAATGTCAAACATTGTAGAAGCGATTAATATTTCGAAATACTTAATAATTCCTCGAATTATTTTAATATAGAATATATTATATATCATAATCTTGATTTATCAGAGAGAAATATTCCATTATCCAATTTTTTGAACCGAAAGAACCTTTCTTTTCAATCAGTCGAAAATTCGTTTTACATCAATTAATTGCACATCGCATATCTGCTCTTAATTAAATGCAATTTAATATGGAAATGCATACGGCCGGCTTAACGGCCGAATGTGGAAAGACGACGTCGGTCCGATATATATCGGGTAGGACGAATTTTCTTCTATACTTCGCTATATAGAATGCATCGCTTCCCGATCAAACACTTCGCTAAATACGACAGCCTGAAAATCTCGCGTAAGCGAAAGTAGAGAAAGCTGCGTATCTCGCGGAGCCACAACACACGGAGCAAGGCCATCGTCGGCTGTGTTTAAAGACGAAACACGCCTAACGGCGCCGTCCAGATGCCAGAATCACGTGCGAGACTCCCAGATGAGCCACCGGGTATTAATCGCGTGTGCGCGCACCAGATCGATTATCTTCGGCGAACGTAATAAAAATTTCATGAACCCCGAACGAGGAGGACTATCATCGGGTCCCGAGTTTATCGCGCCGATAAATATTAATCTTGCGACATTTCTCCTTCATTCGGCGTAGCTTTAATTCGACGTTTCTGCGTATAATTATGAAAGAATGTTTCACAAATATTTCTTACTTTTGAATAAGTAAAATTATATTGATTAAATTGAGCATATATTGGTCTGTAATTTTAATTAATATAATTTATCACATATTTTATTTAAGCTAAATTCGTTTCCCTTTACGAATTTTCGGATCTTTCGCCGATTAAACTTTGAATTAAAAATACGTAGTGAAAAAAAAGGCACTTGTGAAGCAATCTACGCTTGCTAGCGGCTCGCAATTGCAAAGTTGTCTGTATATGCAAAACCTCTTATGCTGCATTATTAAGGATGATTCGCGTTCCCGGCGAGGAGAACGAAAATAGGGAGATGCAATTTTGGAGGCTGGCCCGGCGCATAGCTGATATCCTGATGGGTTAAACAAAGCATGGGGATGAGAGAGGGCCGCGCTCTTACGAGAGCGCAAGAATTCCGATAATGGAATATTTAATAATTCCGCTCTGCCGGTCGGCGGCGCGCCTCGCCTCGAAACGAAGAAATCGAGCGAGTCGGTGAAATTGACTCCTACTAGGTCAGTGGGTGACGGAAGACGAGTGTGACGCGACCCAGGTATTCGTCTATCTATTTTGCCGCGACTTGTTTTCAGTCGGCGCCGATGTAGATAAACATCCGGCGTGGCATCGCCTATCTCTGCATCGTTAATTGAAATTCTCCTTGCTCGAGGTTTTGAAGGGTGGGGCAGAGCCGGAGATTTTCTCGCAATGTTCAATTTCACCGGTGAGAAGATGGCACGCGGTGGCTCATTTAAAAATAAATAAATTCCGCTTTGCGAGAGAGAAAACAACAGATTTATGAATAAACGTCGCGGAATGTGAGAGCCTCTAATAATTTTACAAAGTGTCGAAATAAAATAAAAATGACAAGAAGATCCATCGCTTCTGATTATATTCAGAAGAGTTTTTATAGTTGTTTAATTATATAAATGCGTTTGATTTATTTATATTATAATATGCATAGCGTAAAATTATTACTTTGACCATAGGATAAAGCATCAATTCGATGATTGACACAAGTAAATTATTTCCAAAAATCTAATTATCATTATAAAAAAGAGTTTATAAATAAAGGTAAAATATAATAAGTTAAATGTACGATGGTGTTTCTATTTTTACTGAGATGCGGATCAACTTTAGAAGGTAACATCACTCTTAAAGATACAAAAAAGATGTCCTTCGAGCCGGATTTGAACCAGCGACCTATGGATTTCTACCTTAATGAAGCTCTAAACCTCTACAGTCCACCGCTCTACCAACTGAGCTATCGAAGGCTTCTGCTGAAGTTTGCTTCAGCAATATACATCTTCAAGAGACATTGTCTATAGCTATTATAATTGATAACATACTTATTATTACGGAATTTTTAATTAAAATACTATATATAATGTAAAATAAAACATTCTTGGAGCCAAATTTGATGGACCGATTTATGAATATCTCTTCTGGAAATATATTTACGAGCCATGAAGCTATGAAAGATATGGAAGATGTAGTTTTTTGAAGAACAATGAACATTTATTTATAATGCGATCTTATTAAATAGATTTGAAAGAAGATTTTTGAAAGAGGGACATGATAAAAGGAAAGTCCTTCAATCCGGATTGTTTTTGAATCAGAAACTATAATGGATGGTTATTTTCTTGAAGATGGTATTTACGCTCTACTGACTGAAAGAAAACTGAT